ATAATTGTATATTATCAAGTACTAACTCGAATCTAAAAGTACATTCTTTTTACAAACTGGTAACCAGTTGTTCTGTTTATTCTTCCTTAAAGGCAGTGGTTTGAGTGCAGAATATGGCACAATTTTTTTCTCTCCTAATTCTTCAATAAAAACTAACACAGGTCCTTGATTTTTATTCATTTCTTGAATGTGTCCATAATAAAACACACTGTCCTTGCTTTTTTTTTGTAATATTTTTGCATCATTACTACAAGAATCTTTCTCAAAAGAAGACATATAAATGTTGTTATTATTGGCTTTGTCAAAATCTTCCTCATTAAAGTCCATTTGTACCAAACATTTGCCACCAATTTGAAGTTCATGACTATTGTGCCTAGTCCATCCAGCACTTTTCACTTCTAAAATATATAATGATTCATTACTTTCTTTAATAACATAATGTTACTTTTCATACAAGCAGACTTGTGTTACCTCTCCTAATTTCATGCCATATATCAAAGTCTGTATTACGATAAATATTAGGATCAAGAGCTTTTGCAATTCTATATGGAAAAGGTGGTATACTTTTTACTACAGACTGTACATCATCAACCTCATCACTTCCATTTTCAATCTTATTATATATTTCTGTAGCTAATTGACTAAACATAAATAGGTTAAATTTACATTATATTTTGAATCACATACTAACTATACAAGTAACACTTGACTTACTCTCGTATTTCTATATTGCCTTTAAGGAAAAACTTGTCATGCCTAAATGTAGCTGTTCGATCATGTAACATTTTATGAACAGTATCCTCTATATTAGCCATTTGAAAGACATCCTTGTATAGTGTTTGATAAATAATAGCTATAAATAATTCTTAAAATATTTATTGTATACAACTGAATGGAAACCATAAATAAGAGTCTATAGCATATTTCAGTCAAAGTTGAATTAACAGTAAAATATGGTTCTACAGTCCCTATTGATCGTTTTAGTATACATAGGTTGCAGATATTTCGTCGGAAGGCGATGTAATGTTGAACACAAAAAGCAAATTAGGTGTATGAAGCTTATGGAAGAAAGGTCTAAAGCACAGTTTAGAATAAAGGAGTTTAAATGTTACGAACTTTCTGTGGTTCACGTTTGCCGAAACTTAAGCTGTAAAAAAAAAATGAATAATCAAGTGTGTTAAATTTCATCTATCCTACAGATGTGCCTATCACTAAGGGACAAAAAGAAAAGATATAGTTGACATGCTTCAGTATATGAAAAAAGAATACCGCAAATTCTATTTGAACCTAAATACATCTAATTCAAATAGTTTCAGTTAAGAAGTTTTGTTAAGGCTTGAATTGAAATACATATCTTTTTTTACTAAAAACTTATTAATAAAAGACTATGTTTATTATCATCCTTAATTATTTTGCTTCATTGTAATGAATACTGAAATAAAATATATCACTGCAGCCTCTAGCTACTCTGTTTATTGTTTCAATGGAATAAGGGTCTAAGGCACAGGAGAAATTCATCACAATTTACTGAATACAGTGTAAGTTAAAAACCACTTTTCCCAAAATATGCTTAAAACTCTTATTTGAGGTTTCCATTCAATTATTTCTGTTACTTAAAAAAAAAAAACAAATACAACTAAACTCATACATTGACAATAAGCAGCAGTTGCAACAAAATCTCTTGTATATATACTTTCATACTGTTTCTGTGGGGTATGACATAAATATATTATGTCTTTGAATCCATTGTTTGTAACAATGCGACTAATTTGTTTCTGCCCATTAAATATAACAAATTCTCTCTTGTAAAGCAATGACATTGCTTGAATTTCATTCATACTACCCCATTCAGTAAAGCATGCCATTTGCTCAATATAATCGTCAAATGGTATTGTTACATTCTGTTAACAAATTTATTAATTTTAACTTTTATGCTAATATTGATTAAGGAGTATCAAGTACATAATATCCACCTCTATAAATAAATGTTTCATTTTCCTCATGAATTCCACACATTCTTTTCTGACTCTAATGTGGTAATGCTGTGTCATATAAATTTGTTCACTAACTGCTCTGAACAAGCAAGTTGGATCTCTGGGTGCATGTTTCCTGAAATACCCTTCATTTTGTAGCCATTCATCAATGGGTTCTTGTACACGTTTTAACGGTTTCCTCGGTGATATTTCCATTTTTGTTTTTTTTTTGTCACTAAAGTAAGTAACAAAATTAACTTCTTTGTCATATATTAAAATTACGCATATTCATTATTATATACATATCTCATACATATATCACAAAATAACGATCGTTACCATTGAAATATGTGGAATTTCCTAAGATTTACATAGATCGGCGATAATAATAATTTCGCAATGAAAAACATTAAAGGGCAGTCTAATATATTGTTAATTGTGAATCGTTAATTTGAAAATAAAAAAAAAAATGCTGACTGTAAACAAAATTATACCTGTTGGAAGACAAGTGACTAATACGCCAAATGATTCGTTCGATCAAAGATTGTCAATAACTATGAGAAGTTTTAAAATGTACAACGTAACTGTTACCCTGCACTTAAAGTCGTAGCATGGCTACCAAAGAACTAGCAACAGGTCCTTTCCCATTAGTTTGCTATTAGAATCGATTTCCATGGGACTATTGGACAAAAGAAATTTAACAACCAATCATAATCCGTGACTTGGCACCTTCGGGACCACTTTCGTTAGACAAAGACCCTTTACCACAAAAGCTGACTTTCAACGATAGATACTTCCTTTGTTTGATTTTCGCGCGCCTATTTGAACGAGACTCGTGTCACATATAAGATACATGTATAACATAATAAATAATAATCTTAATAAAAGGGATTGAGACACTATATATATAAGGCTATTTTTTACAAATTACTTTTTTATTCGTCATAATAATTTTCATCGAAATGACAATGCGATGTGTACGAAATATTAAAAAAGTACAATAGCCAGTTATATAAAATATGATTTTTACAGAAATATAAGATTAACCGCTGTACCATTGCGATATCTGTAACGCATGCAATGCTACCCAATTTTGTTGCTATCGAAAATAATGTTTGCCTGCGTGCAGCTTTCTTAGTATAAAAAGTACATCCTTTGGCGAGTTAGTGTTTAAGAGACGGATGTCGATACAAGCCCAAAATTACTTAAATCGTTCGCAATAATACATTATTAGGAATATCGAAATAGGTATCACTTGTAAAAAGTTTCACCGCACATTTTTTTTTCTTAATTAAATTTGGGCCTGAACCTTCATCGTCGTTCCGTTGTTAATAGTTTTTCGTGTAAAAATCGACTTGTGCGCGTCTCGCCGAAAGGGACGCTCATGGCGGTAGGATAAGTATAATCATAAGATTACATTAACACAGTGTTTCGCATTCTCCTTTTTTCTTGTGGACAATGTATGGAATAATTATTATAAAATGTCACGATATAGAAAATGGAAGAAATGACGAGTCGCTGCTTCCTTTCTTTTCCGTTCTTTCCATATTAAAAAGCTTCCTTTAAGCAGCTACTTTCTCAGCATCGATTGCTGAAACAGAAAACAGTACCTTCATGCTAATATTGTGTCTGTATTTTTTTTTTCTTTTTGTCATTTTTAATAGCTCGTAATTCTAGAAGCATTCATTCACACTGCTTTTAGCTCACCTTCTTTGGTTGGTAAGGGATTTTTCTCAAGCGTTTCCGCGTGTTTCAATTTTGCAGGATCAAAATTTTCAATACCAGACATTAGCTGTTGCTTTCCTTTCTCCTGCTGGATCGCTACACAGAGCAATATAATTCTTTATTATTACTTTAACGTCTACATTTTCTATTCGGTTAGCAGTTTCTTCTAAAGATTACGAAAGCCAAGAAAAATGTACAAGAGTCACGAAATTCGATACTGTACCATCCTTGTCAGGTAGCAGATTCTTTTCTTGAGTTTCGGTGTGTTTCAAACTTGCCGTGTCGAATGTCTCGATGCCCGACATCAGCGTTTGTTGGGTCTTTTCTGCGGCTACATCTGTAAAACGTGAATCGAGGTCAAAGAACGAAAGACAAAACACATGGTGGAGAATGGCAAAAAGTAATACCACTGGAAACTACTGTGGAAGTGTACTAATTGTACAGCTTAGCTGCAATTTTAAACCATGAAATTATTTTAAAAACAGTGCAAGTATACTTTGCTTAATTAAAGAAAAAGTACAAGTTGTTTAAGCGAATCATATTTCTTCTGAGAACAAAGTACACTGTTTTTAAAGAGTTTTTCCTTAGTAAGAAATGGTAAAGCCGTATTGTTATTGCGATATTCAAGAAACGTTTATCGCCAGGCGGACGTAACATCGTGTTGTTATCATGGACGCAGTACAGAGTACGGGACTACGGGACAAACCGATCACACATGCAAAACAATTCCACCTAAGCGACTGAAAGAGAAAGTAAAAAAGTTGGCCTCCGATCATGTATGTTTTGGTCGCGCCACCTCGAAGCACCAAAAGCAACAGAACACCCTTTTTGATACCGGCAGTAGAAGAACCTAACTATAATAGGGAAACACTATAAAGTGTGATCCCCTATGGAATCTGATTAATTTCTATGATACCTTTGGCATTGGGTAAAATGATCTTCTCTTTCGTATCAGCATGTTTCAATTGATCTGGTTTAAATGTCTCCACATCGTGGATAAATTCAGAATGCTGTCGTTCTTGTCGTACGTCTATATATTACAATATCACATGCATTAGAATCGATCGTTTCGAGAAATAATTTATTAACATTAGAACTCTGTATAATATTATCAAGTATTGAATTATGAGAATTATATTACGGTAATTATTGTAACAAAGTTTTAAAGGAAAAGTAATAATATAATATAATAATCCGTACCTTCGGCGGAAGGTAAAACGTTTTTTTCAGCGGTCGCGGCTTTCTTCATACAGCCATGATTGAAACCCTCTAGCTCGCTTTTCAAGTCTAAGGCTACTTTTGGCAGGTCTTTCAAAGACGGACTCGACATGTTGATGTGTTGTACTGTTTAATCTGAAACAAACGACCAAACGGTATTATTAATGAAAGTATTGACTCTATATATATTTCGTTGTTTATACAAAAATTTATTTCGTGTCGTTGATTTAATGATGTTATTAAGGTAACTTTCACAGGATATCTGCTAGTGATCCTGAATAAATTGCAATCGATTCTATAAATAGATCTAAAGAATAATAAGATTCCGCGGTACTTTATACATTCATAATCTAAAAGTAACAAATTTTTTATTGTACTTTCTTTTTCGTCTGTCTATCGATATCCCAGAAAGATTTCCAGTTACAAAACAACTTGACATCAACAACTTGAACCATAATCTGAAATTGAGCAACGAAATTTTTCTTGGATGCGATTTGTTTCTGTTTTCTGTCAAGTCTAACAAAAAATGGCTATAAAGTCCTAGGTGTTTGAGTTCATAACACAGAACGTAATTGTTTCTTCATTATATATCATGTATCCTTAAACTATAATGCATTTAAAAATACATAGAATAATAAAAATAAAGTTTGTATATACAAAAATCGATAATCGCAAGTAGACATGATCTTGCAATGGTATCGTCTCAACACTCCCTTTGACTTTTAATCCATTCTCTTTATCTTCAACGGGACAATGACGATTGAGCGACGGATAGGAGAAAAAGCATGAATCTCCAAGTGTCAGCGAACGCGCCGGTTCATTGTTATCGTTGTTACCGAGAAAACGAAGGAAGCACACATTGTACATACAGGAACGTGCATACGCGCGCCCGCGTAAATACATACATATACGACTATCGAGAAACTTATCAATATTGAATGCGTCTCGTACCAAGTTCAATGCATATATTGGCAGAAACGCCGGAAAATATCGAGAAACGCAATGTTACCTATACCTGAGATGCCTTTCCTTCTTGTTTTTAATGTAAACGTTAGAAATTCAGACGTATAAAATATTTTATATATACAGCGTGACTCGTAGATTTATTTATTTCACAGATTTGTCAGATTTTTGGTACAAATTATTAAAAAGATACATTACAAGAAAATCAATAGGTTTTTCTTTAATTTGTTGCAAGATACAAACTGAACAAACATATATAAGTAAGTGCCATAAATTCCGGATATATAATGGTACCGTTTCTAGCGAATGCAAAGGTAGGCAACTGTTGCTCGTCTAACATTTCCGGTCTTCCCTCGTCTCTTTTTATAGGCGAAAATAATGGATAAGCCATAATTATGTCGGAATGTAATCGGACACGTAACATCTTAAAATGCACATGGCTACGTTAATTGCAATTAGTGGACTCGTTTAATCGTATCTAGCTCGGATTCGACTCGTTTGAGAATGTTATAGACGAACAGGAGGAAGGTACGATTAAATCTTTATTCAAATTTGAATAATGGTTCTTCATTGTCTAAATTTTCGTGCTAGACGTCGGTAAGTAATGCGTTACGAAGCGGAAACAGCAGAAGCTCGCTACTTCCGGTCCGCGTTTCTTTCCATTTCCTTTCTGGTCACATATCCTCCTGTGTAATTTCCTACTAAAACGTCGGCATTTTTATCAAGCAGGATTCTTATTCACAGTCTGACTTCTTCGATTACATTTCTTTACATAAAGAATCATCAGATTCCTCAATCATACTATACTTACAATTTTAAAGAAATTCAGGATTATATTATAATTTTTAAAAAATTCAAAAATGTTTCTTCAAAATTTAATAAATTATCCATAAATGACACATATGGGCTATAAATTGCAACAAATGTTCACATTATCTATAAAAGCATAAATTTATGGAATTTACAACGTAAATAACAAAGTCCTTTCGATGCATGTCTAAAAAATAATTGATAGTCCATGCACGCTCCGTCGCGAGAAACTCGAGAGACTCGTCATATGTTCGTACATCGAATCCGGCACTCGCGTTGCTTTTACGCTTTACAGTTGTTAAAGCAGTGATGCACAATCGACGACATTTCGTATTCACGGTACCTGAACGAATTCGAATGTTCAAGAACCATACGATGAAACGTGGATCTATCTTCGTGTGAAGGATCTATTTTGTTCACAATGTTAAACAGCGTTAAAAACGAAGCTTAATTGCAAGTGAACGCAAGTTCCACCGGTTGGGACTCCCAATTAAAAAAGTTTGTGCACCACTGAAGCTAGAATGACTCATGTTCGTCGGGTTCTCCCTCTCAATTCTTTTTTTGTTTTCTCTCCCAGTTTGTTTTTTTCCCTATTTACGTCGTTTATATTCGTTAGTTTTAGCGTTTCGGCGACCACTCTTAACTGATGAAAATACCGGCGGACAAGGAGAGCAACTCAAAGAAGATTTTTGCGTTCCATAAAGTTATATCATTGGTTAAAAATGGCAAAACTCGTTATCAGCGTACAGAACGATAACGATACCTGACGTTAAGAAATTTTCTTATCGCTTTATGGAAACCGGTACTGTTTACTGTAAAATGAATCAGTTTAAAGTTTCTTATAATTGATAAATATAATATCGGGACACTCGAAATTTCTTGGAAATATTTTCCAGAAAAGTAAAAAAACTACTTCACCCTTCAGCAGGGTAGCAATATCGAATTACCTAACCTAACTTACATACTCAACTTTAAATAACCTCTTAACCTCTTATCTTATAAGACGAGTTAATAGATTATCAGTAATAAAAACAAAAAATTATTAAAGAATATCTCTTTTTGTGTAGCAGGAAGTACTAGAAGATATAAAATAAATTAAACAGTAGAAGAAGCAGTAGCGAAGGAATTGCAGGTTCGAGACGAGAAGACATAATCGTACGCCAGTGGCTCCAGGAGAGTGTTTCGAGGGATACGTTCCAACGGTGGGTCAGCATCGACAAGGCTGTGTATAGGTCCTTATATGGTAGCCGGTCGTATGGCTGTATATAGAGAGAGCTCGAAAGAGGCTGAATACGCAACCATGGAGCACATTCGTGTCCTTTACGTATCCGCTTGGTGAATATTTCTTTTCTCCCTATCCTCAACACGCGTGTGGAGTCTTGTATCCAGTACATACACACTGTGAACCACCGTATGTACGTATTCTGCGTAACGGTAACAAAACGAAGAGGAGATGGCTCGATTAGTTGTAGCGGTTAACACGTTTGAAAGCGTGTGATACACGCAAATTGATCATTTTAAGAGTACTATGCGTTATTTCAAGCTCGATGATATATGTAATTTTTTAATATTAAGAAAATTTATAATCAAATGATGAAAAATCGTTTACGTATGACATAAGAAAAAAAAAGCCTCCATTCGTACACTTCAGCCAGCGCAATTTCGTAGCGAATCACAGCGTAAAGTCGGTCGATTTCACAAAAGTCAGGAAAGCATGCTGGTACTCGATGGCTCTTGAAAATGTATTTTATTGGATTATCACGGTACAAGGTGGAAGTAGAGGACTGAGAACGATCTCAGTACGCCAGTGTCCGAGGAGAAATCACGATAAATCCTACTTGATCTCGCAAGGAGAAAAGAGGTCTGCGAGTTAATAAGGAAACTAGGTTGCTCGCACCGACGCGCTAGCCGGTTTGCAGGACGCGTCGGTGTATACGCTACATGCTTCGACGAATCACGTACTCATCGTGAAATTGAAGTCTTCGACAGTCATCTAAAATGCTTGAAATCAAAATTACATACAAAAAAAAATGAATTTAGCATAAGGAAATATTTTCCTTCAGAATAATTTCAGAAAATACACTGTGTTATAAATTACATTAATTATTGATATATGGTAGTTTAGTGTTCAATATAACCACATTCTCCACGCACGACATGTACAATGCTCATTTCTGTATTTTTAGCCAAGAATGAACAAGAACAAGGCAAAAGAGAGAAACGCATTATTCATAGCTTCCACGTAAGCCTATCGAACGAACGTCTGGAACCGATCGAGTGTAAGCGCATCCGGTGAATCGATAACATCGTTTAATCGTTCAAGGGTTTCGCCAGACATTGTCGTGGGTTCCTGGTAAAGAGAGATCTTACGGCTGACGGCTAACGAGTTCGCGCGGGCTGCCAATTAACTTGGGTAATCGCATTTAATGGAGGACCACAGTGGCGTACGCAGCGGTTCGTTTCTTTACGCGACCGTGCCGGCTGTATCGACCGATGGTGATGGTAATGGTGATAGTGATGGTATTGGTGGTAGTGGTGGTAGGTTGCACACGGTCGGCCACCTACGTGCACTGTACATACCCACGTAAAAGCGTGCAACGTGTGGTTAGAAAATGCGTTACGATGATTTTGTGTCGCGCTCGCGCTCCGAGCAAACGCGATACAAACGCCCTCCTCTCTTTCCTTTTTCTTTCCGCCCCCTCTCCGTCACTCTTTCGGGCGACCGTGACGGCTAACGAACCCTGGACGCGCGCGTATCGTATCGAGCGGTGGCGCGTACGCTCAGGGGCGTATTACGTGTTACCAAGCGGCTCATGGACCTAGGGATACATGCTGTTTTTTGTCTTTGTCTCGCGCACTGAATTCTGATAAATTCTGATAAATGGTTCAAGTGAGACTGACCCTTTGCCTTCAAAGCATCTTTCCTTATAGAATATTAACGGTAAAAAAAAGTTATTTCTGCTGTACAGCAATTATTAATTGTTAACTCTATGAAGTTAAATATAATTATACAAAAGTATATTTGGGTGTTAGCCTCTCAAGAGCAAAAACGTTAATTTTAATACTTCCAATAAAAGTAAGCATGGTTACTAAAAAATGCGTTTATTTCAGTATAGTTTGAACCATCAACCGAGCGATGTGGGAAGAGACGAAATTCGGAATACTCTGGAGAGGCTGAAAGCCACGTCATACAGTAAATTATGCCCCGATCTCACCATTATAATCGGCACAAAAGGGATCCTCTTCAGCGGTCAAGATTTCGTGAACAAGTACCAAGGTATACACCGTGAATGAATAGGGCCCTGAAGAGAACCCTTTGACCCAATCTCGTAGATTGCAGATTGCTTTCGTCATTACGCTTCTGCGCGATGAGCAACATCCTGGTTCTGGTACTTGACGAGCAAGGGGTAGTATAGTCAAGCACAAAAGTTTCATAGACAAAATCTCTTACTATTTTCCCATAGAGTATTCCAATGCCTTGTAATTTTATTAATTACAAAAAATTAAGGAAGTGTTTAATTGCAAATAACTTTATTTTCTTTACACCTGTTTCATTAATTATTTTAATTTCGGTAATAATTTACAAAGGAATTAAGAAAGTACATAATTATAATTAATTTCATCCCCTTTCCAGTTGTTCAATCAATTTTCTTATTTTATTTTAATCTTAAACGCGCTTTTAGTTTATGTCCTAGTATGTAACCTATCAAGGTCGACCTTGAAGATGCTCGAAGAAGTCTCAGAATATTTCTCTCTTCCGGAACGTGAATGAAATAGCTGCGCGCGCGCACGCTAGTTCTGTGCTGTGTGTACGTGTCGGTTTTGTACATGCAGGGTTGCATCGGGGGAGCGGTCGACTGGTGGCAGACGGTTTCATCGATTGGCAATGCGGGGGTCGAAGAGTGGGGTTTCTGAACTCCACTATCTATATGTACTACATAACGTATCGACGACCTCGGCTCTCATGGTCAATGGTAAAAAGGTGATTTTTAATACTTCGCGTGGGATTATCTTGAATCGCGATCTTTTTCCATGGACGTGTATTTATGTATTCGTGAATATGCATCCGAATCTCTGAAGAACACAGTTGTATTTAAACTAAGACTTACTGTATTTAAACTAATTTTCGTATTTCTGATATATAATTTTGTATTATGCAGTCTAGAGGTAATAGGTAGCAAACATAATAGAATTTATCGCGGTTGTTATATTCAATAATATAAACATCACAAATAAAAATTGGCACTGTGGTTAGAATCGATAAATAGAATTTTCAGAGTTCTTTACTTACTCGAAAGATCCGCTCGCTCGCCTTGAAGCGAGCCAACCCGTCCGAGACATGATAAGATGCAAATACCGCTGGATTCTCCCTTATGAAGATATCATGCATAAAAATGTGTACATTTAATTAGAGAAACGCACTGCGATGCAATTAGTCCATCAAGGCAACTATATACGTTTCATGAAAATACACAGAAATTAAATCGTTTTAAAGATTCGATTAAACATTTTATGATAAATAATTTATTAGAAAGATTTATTCGCAATTTACGTTATACTGTTGATGTAAGAGCAAAATGCTAGCGAAAAAAAATGTTTTCCTGAAATGTAACTGGAGACGAAATGCTGGTAACTATAAAGGAGCGAAACGTGCTCACCAGTCGGCAACCAGAAACGCATTTGCGTGCCTGATGCGCAGCCGAGTGCATCTGTCAAAACCACGCCCTTGTCCCATCCTATCATCCTAATGTAAAGACACTCAAAGCTTTGATGATACATATACAGAACAATGCTATCAAAATTTCACAAAGTATGACTTATTTACTTGTATCTTATTATTCGTGTTTCACGGTTTACCGGCTAATTAAGAAATGTAATTCTATGATTATGATAAATGATGATTATATCAACAGTATTTTTATTATCATATATTCGTGAGTACTAGAAAATATATAATTTTAACCTCTTAAGTTTAAATATTTTACGACGCCTACTCAAGAAAGTGAAAAATAATGGGAAAACCTGTCGGTAGCGTCGACTTAAGATTCGTACATGCACAAGCCGCGTATGGAGATTTGACCACACCCCTCCATTTTCGATCGGTTAATAATGAAGACGATCGATATTCACGAAAGCGTATTATTGAGTTTCTGATGATTTCCACTTTCAAAAAACTAAAAGAAGAACAGTGAACTCGCGGATTATGACCGTCTTCGTAGTATTACAAAAGCACGTATACGTATACACACGCGATCCATGCTATTGCCTTTCTTTGAGTGCACGAAGGAAACCGGTAACTGGCCGAATACAGTCGAGAGAGAAATAACACCGTGTATACGTTTCAGTTCACTTGGCGAAAGCGCATCGATCGCATGCAATTTAAACTGAGGACATAGAATGGAACGCGGCAAAAGAGAGCACTGACCTGTCAGTTGTCACTACAAGAGGTAGAGGCAGGCGCAAACACTGTCCAGCCAAGTGTTCAAGGGCAGGAAGAAGGCAGCACACTGACTGACCGGCTAGTGATTCCGCGGCACGTAACACCAGGTCACACCGGCGAGCCACTCTACCACTCTTCCTTCTGACGATCCTACGCTCGCACCGCACCAATCCCCACTACGAATTCCGACCCCGGTAGTCAGCCAATCGTGAGCCACCGAATCTCCTTCTCTCACCCCAGTAAAATGTCTCCTTCCATCATTCGAATGCTTCCTCCAATCGTCTCCTTGACCGTCATTGGAGGGTGGCTGACTCACCCTTCGCGACGAACATGATTTCGCATTCGATGCACGAAAAAATTTGATGTTTTTCACATATAAACTCGCTTTCGGTACTTTTATCTTCGCTATTAGACTACAACTTTTTTTGCGATTATCATGGACGTGTACGCGCATTACTTAGATGAACTGGAACTGCCTGTAATTTCAGTAAATGTTACCAAGGAATGTGCTCACTTTCGATTCTATTTCTGACACACAATAGGGAGAAGGGAGCAGAAGTAAAGGACTTTTTAGGGGTTGGCGAGCTCGAATGACTCATGTTGCAGTTATCCCAGCTGCGCGTCATATGGCAGTCCCGTTGGGTCTTTCCAATATTTGGAAATAGCACAGTACATTCGAGAAAATTGATTTGTTTAACCCCAGTGCGTTCTTTTGTTCGACTATACTATTGGATCAAAAATACTAGACTATTGAGTCAAAAAAGACCCAAAGACCTTATGTGTAACCATTTTTTGTTACTATCATGCCGTATGGACCCAGACAATAAAGTTTTAATTTAATGTTAAGGAAACGTAAACTTGATAACAGCAAAAGTTATTAAAAAAGTAAGAAGGCGATGGATCGGAAAAGACTCGAAGACCGCACTAGGGTTAAGGGTAAGATCGTGGAAAAAACTACGCCACTCATTCTCGTGTACTTTTCAAGGAACATATTGTATACAGGTGAAAGTAATAAATTAATAAAATCCTCTACTCTAGAAAGTGTAGGACTTTTTATATTTCACGATAACTTTATTTTATACTCACCACCTTTCAAGTATGTGCGCCATGTTTAGTAAGTAAGTAAATAAGAACTGATCATTTCGTAGGTTATGTTTAATAGACACTTGACACCAATCTTCTAAACTCCCAACTTTAAGAGAAATGTTTAACAAATAAAAATACAATAAACTTTTAAATATAATAATTAATGTTATTGATGTGAATTTCTTGTTTAATGAGCATAACTATTTTGACTAAAAAGTAAATTGAAACGTCGACGAAATACAGGAACCTGTATCTCATCTGTCGGTCACAATGAATGCGATAAAATATTTTTAAGGTATTTGATATAAAAAACGAATAATCGTCGTCCACATAAACTATAAAATAGTATAATGCCTTACTATCTTTCGTTTCCATTCATTATTTGTATATATTACGATATTCTGCAGCAGTATCGTTACCTGGTAACTTCAGAGCTTAGTCGACTCCAATTGCCCGCGAAATTTAAAGTATCTCGTTTCAACTGAAAAGTGCAGTGCTAGAAAAACGAAATATTCTAGTGAAAAAAAAACATCGACAAAGAATAAACATGTTTTACCTTATTTAGATATCGTTCACTTTATTATTAGACCTAAGTTTTTAGAAAATATATACAATTATTGACTTAAATTATTTTATCAAACATTATATCGGAATCGGTAAATCTTTTGCAACTAATACTAAGATTTGATCGATGCTTAGGCACCAATTTGCTATGTTCTTCGATACTTTACACCAATTTTCACCATGATGAGGTTCTGCAGCGATACATCGTTTTTTTACTTCCTCTTGTTGTTCCTCTGTCCCGTTTAACAATTCGAATTTGTAGAAATATGCCCACGCATCTCCTAAATCTGGATCTATTTTAACTGTTCTATTAAACCAATCTCTGCACTTGGAAATTTTATGTTCACACCAGAACAGTCTGTGAAATACATATATTTTTATTAAAATAATTTTTGCTTCTTATATTTCACACAAATATCGTAATAAATTATCAAATACTCACTTGGATACCGCAAGAAGAACGTGAGGATCATGTTCGCATTTCTTCAAAGCATCCACGCTTTTCGTCTTTCTCTGTGGTCGAGGTTCCATAAATATTGCTTCTGCCCAAAGTAAACCTGACGTCGGACATTCTTGCAATGCTTTAGCCATAAGTGCATTCGCCATATCCTTAACACCACCGCTTTTTAATTCATTTCTGATAGCTTCTAACCAAAGCTCAGCGTTCTTAGGATTTTTCAGACGTGCTTTCTCCAAGACTGATCTAGCTTTAGTAACCTGGCCCTTTCGGTGTTCTAATTGTGCTAATAAACGCCATAGTGGAATGGAATTAGGGCATTTCTTTATCTGTAATGTAATTAAAAATGTTCAAATAGCTGAATCACAAACTACAAATTAGGTGAACAAAAAGTAAACCTTACAGCTTGATTATATGTTTCCAAGGCTTTATCCAAGTTTCCTTGCTGTTCTTCGATCTGTCCCTTCATTAACCACAATTTTGGGAAATCATCAAATGCTTCTAAAGCTTCTTTTAGGAGTAATAAAGCTGCATCAAGGTTGTTCAGAGCCCATTCTAATTTTGCGCTCTTCATCATCACTCTGGGAGTGGGTGCAGATGCTCTAGCTTTCGCTAGTAGTCGTCGAGCTCTTTCATATTCAGAATTTTCCGATTCTAATTTCACGGCTGCTAACCAAATCTCCTCCGAATTTGGATTAGCTTGAAACGCGAGGGATAAAATACCTCTTGCTGCTGGAACATCACCCTTAAAATAAAAAATACATTTTACTTAAATTAAAAAGACAATATTGTGAAATAATGTTGTTTTCAAGTTTCACTTACAGCCAACCATTTTGACTTTGCACCCATAAGCCAAAGAACTTCACTTTTTGGACAATGTGCCACTGCTCTTTGAAGTAATGATTCCAAAGACTCTCGTGTTCCATATGTTTTCTCGAAATAAGCTGCACGCATCCAAATTGATTTTTTGCTCGGAAATGTCGACAATGCGTAAGCATAGACGGCTCTAGCACACTCTAGTGCCCCTTGTTGAGCACACTAAAATAATGAATGTACAAATTGTACATATACTGTTCATACTATATATGACATATATAAGAGAAATATATAATCTTACAGCTTCTGCATCTTCCATCCATGTGTGCTTCCTGTCTTCTTCTTCAACTCCAAAACCAATAATTGCTTTCACAATAACTTGACATGTGTGTACCGCACCAGCCTTTTCTGCCTCCATAGCTTCTTTGAACCAGTGTTCTCTGTTAATTTCAACTCCATTTGCACTCAAAGAAGATATTGCTCGATCGATAATTTTCTCAACCATGTGTTTATTTCCATTCGCTTCCTCCAATTTCGCGGCTGTTGTCCAAATTTGTCTATCAGTAGGAATATTTTCTCTTGCCTTATTAAGCACTTTCCTTGCGTTGTCGTAAGTTTCTAATCGAGCAAGAGCAAGCCATAAATCTACACTGGTTGGACAACATTCGACTGCCCGACTGAGCAAAATGCGTGCATCTTCTGGTTCTTCTAATTCTACAGCTGCTTTCCATAATCTCACTGAATTGGGTATATGTTCCAAAGCCTTTCGATACACTCTTCTTTTTGCTTTTGTTTCTGTTTCTAAATCAGCTGCTTTGATCCAAATTCTGACAGAGGTTGGTATGTGTCTTACGGACTGGGCGATTACCGCTTTAGCTGTATCTGGTGGCTGAAGTCTAGCTGCTTCTAACCATAAATCCTCTGATGTAGGATTCACTTCACAGCCTTTCATTATTAAGTTTCGTGCTGCTTGTACTTTCCCAGTAACTTCTTCTAAACGAGCAGAAGCTATCCATGCTGGTGGATGGTTAGGATTAGTTTCCCTTACAGACTTTAATAATAATCTAGCCTTCTTGATATCACTGCAAGTAAGTTTCATTAAATTGCTGTTAATATTAAAATATATATCTTTTAACACGTTGACTGCCACGTTGGTCACCTGTGACCGGAGATTGATTTCTCGATGGGGCCATGGTGGTTATCAGTGACTGGACTGCCACAAATGTTTAGAATAAATAATATAAAATGAATATCGTCAATTAAAAATTTTAAGCATCATAGCTAACTAGACATTATTTTGAATTTAAAAAAATAATAATAATATAGTATAATAAGCATAATATAATATGCTTTGAATAATGAAAATTTTCTTGTGACCCCCTGAGAGCAACATATAAATCTAGCATGGCAGTCAACATGTTAAACTTACTTGATATCACCACCATATGTTGGAATCATGCTTTGCAAATCTGTGAGGTATCCCTTGGGATCGACAACAGTTTGTCCTTCTACAGAATCGGAAACTTGATTCAATTTAACGTTCATTAAAGTGTTTCTCGCCTGTCCAATTTTTCTTAGATCTAAGTCTCCTGTAGGTGTTAGCATTCCAGGTGTTGCTACACCAGGCATCATAGATGCCAGACCACTCGATGGATCAATACTAGTCGATGTTTCACCGCCCAAATTTCGAGCAAGTACAGAATCCGGCAATGGTGTAAATTTTTCGGCCCGTGGATTCCGTTGTTTCCTATTTCGAGCGTCACCGACTTCTGGAACATTTTTCCATTCTTCTTCGGTTACATTTACCAATTCTCTTTTCAAATCTGAAAACTGCTGTTGTATTTTAGGACGTTCCTGACGATACCTTTCTAATTCTTCTCTGAGCCTCTTTTCTCTGTACTCTTTACGCTTTTCATCCATTCTTTTGTCAATAGCTTCATAAATAGCATCAGCTTCTTCGTCATCTTTGTCATATGGATCCTGCAAAAAATAAATGATGTGTAATCATAAGTATTTAATAAATTCTCTGTTTGATATCCTACTTTACTAAACAAAGATCCTCCATATCCAGAAAATTCATCATAATTAGAATCATTCAAGTCCTCTTCATCTTCTTCTTCTTCTTCTTTTTTCTTTGTTCTTTTTGTAGGTGGAGCATGTCTGTCATCTCTATGAGGGAAATGCAAAACATAAGTATAAGATCACTTAGATCTATAAAAAATTGAATACAGCAAACTACTTACGAAACATCGTTAGCGTCACGTGCCGGACCGATATCAGATCTAGTTGTAAACCCGGTAGCTCTGAAAAACAATTAATCAAAGTAATACATTTACGTTTTATCACTTTAAAAGAGGTTAGGTTAGCGAAATAATATTATTTGTTATAAATTACCCTCTTCCAACACCAGCAACGTATCCTAAAGGTGCTGGTACACCCAGAAAATGCTTTTTGTTTCTCGTTGATAATGAAACTGATGGAACTGCCATTCTTTATTGTCAAACGACCAATGTAAACAGAAACAAGATTGCTTTACAAGGACAACTTAACCTCAAACAATGATTTGGACGTCTACTAAAAGAATTAATTACCAATAGATGGCACTTTTTAGACAGAAATTGAAATTCACGGTTCGCGGGTAAAAGTTGTGAGAAATGCGACAGAAGAGTATAAAAGAAAAAAAACCATAAGTATGTAATTTTACATTCTATGTTATTTAATATTGAAATAACAAAACTATTGTGCAACAGAAATATGATATCATAAAATATTAAATGTCGATTCACAAAGCTTCATGGAACATGGAACGGAAAACAAAATATACTACATAAATTAACTTAAAATACTTTGAACTTCCTGATTTTATGGCACGAAATCTTGAAAATCATACAAATATCTTATATTCATGACAAATTATTTAAAATGTGATCATTAATTTATTAAACTCGAATTAAAAATAGGTCATATTTCTACAATACAATTATAAAACATTGTGCACTTAATGTACAGAATGAACTTTTGTTCACGATTTTTTAACGCATACATAAATTATTACAATACCTATTAAGCATATAAAAATTGCTAAAATCCAATATTTTTTATAACTATTACAAATTTTTTTCTGCAATTGTTTTTTGTCGAACTTATCCTTTCCTTTACGACGGGGTTTAAATTTTCGTTCAAATTTCTCAATTTCTTGCTGATTACGTATTTTTTCTGCTCGCCGTTCCTGTTCTAATAACGCTACTTGAGCTTGACGTTTCTCATTCTTCAATTTGATACAAACATTGTCACATTCTATATGAATTTCCTCTTTCTGCACTACTGAGCAGATAAAATCTTTCTTAATACGTTTGCACGCGCAAAATAGTTTCACCTTCTTGTTGCATTCCTTCTCATTCATACATAGATCTGGGTGACAGTTGTTCATACATCGATGTCCACAAGATAACTGAAACAAAACGCTATTATTTAATCATAAAAGATCTAATATTGAACACGTTTATAAATAATAGCTGTATAGATAATTTAATTACATTTTTGGGGCATTGATTTCCACATTTGAGCAACTCGTTACGGTTAACAGTCGTAGCTGATGTTAGTTCAGCACATCTACGGTACAAGGTACCTATTCCGCAATGACACGAAATTTTAACTAATTGCTTACAAGGAAACTGACATGGTTGTTCACACTCCATACAAGGAGTAGTATTCTTATCTCCATCGGAAGATGGTACTCTGTGACAAACCAATTCGCACGTATGATTTGTACATGGTAACATTTTGCCACATAATCTTCCACAAGAGGTAGGTCTGGCCATGTGACAAAGCCATGGACGTGTCTCGTGTCCTCCTAAACATGTAACTTGTACTGAAACTTCGCATGGTGGACATGGTAACGTTTTTAGCTGCATGATTTCTTTCTGTATATCCCATGGTCCAGCAGGTTGAGACTTTACGTCATTCTTAGTCACTTTTACCCACACTTTTGTATGGCAAACAGCAACGCAAGAATGACCGCATCGTTTGTACACTAAGTCACAAATCTTTTTACAAGGTGGACAAGGGCCTTGGTGGCATTTGTGAGTTTCTCTTTTGGGATGATGACAGATAGGTGGTATTTTACATGGCTTATTGCAAGGTGGAGGTTTAATCTTCTTGACTGTACCACATGGTACTCTTATCTTATTGTATCCACATCTACATTGTATAACGTCAGTTTGTGCACAAGGATAACATGGGCCACTGTGACAAGGGGCAAAACATTTGTGTTTACGACAGTTTAAAGTATTGTTGCATACTTTTTCACATACGTTATACGTATTTTTGATCACACAGTCGCAACATTTTCTATTGCATAAGTGTCTCCCGCACAAACGCATTTGCATACACTTTTTATTGCAGTGAAATTCTTTGCCACATGCAACTTCTTTCTTATAGCTACCGCATCGACACGATTTCGTGACTACTTCTAAACATTGTCCACATCGATCTGTGTGACATCTCATGTTACAACAGTGTGAAGCACAATCTAATAGTTTGCCACATGTGTCCCCACATGTAGGCAAATGTTCCTGTTTGCAAGAAATAGCATAACGCTTTTTTCCACATGGACATGTCCTGTTTTTTTCCAGTGGACAGGGTCCACAATCAGTACGTAAATGGCAAGTGCTTTGGCATGTATGAACATTACAAGAAAGAGATCTATCACAGGGTTTATCACAAACCCATGTACCTTCTGAGCACAACTTCAGTTCCTTGTTACTCTTACAGTGACATTCAAGTAGTACTAATTCTGAACAAGGAGGGCACTCTCCTGTATGACACACTTCTTTACAAATGTGTGAACATAGTTTATATTTCTTATTACATATGGTGCCACAACTCCACTCTTTGGTATTGCACCGCCGTTGTTGAGGCATCTGTTTGCCACAGTAACATTTGATAGATAATATTTTTGCACAAGGTGGACATGGTCCAGGATGACAAAGTAAAACACACTTGTGGCCACACTCTGGCTGCAATAGCTTGTCACAAATTTCTCCACAGGAATGTGGAATATTCCACGGTTGGTGTGGAGGATTTATGACTTTTTTACAGAAACACTTATAGTTATGAGGAATTTCATCTTGCCCATATTCCATACGACATTTTGGGCTGTAATTTGTTCATAGATATAATAAATAATACTGAATTTAAATAATTATAAGTAAATAAATATAAAACTCACCATGCCCATATTAGTGTAAGACCTTTCTCACGTTTAACATTCAAACTATCCTGTATCCAATGTAAAATGCAAGATAGATGTAAAAATGCAAAACATTTGCTGCAGTTCCATATCTAAAACAGTTGTATTAACTATCTAAGAGATGTACTAAAAAATACCAAAAGTTATGACTGATATAATTCTAAAAAAACATACTGGATCTGCCTTTTTCACAGTTGAAATACATATTAAGCAAACAGCACTACCAGATTCAAAAATATTAATCAAATATGATAAAATTTTTTCTGCATCAGCCTCCTTTCCTTTATAGGCAGACAATACTTTTTCAACAACAGTCTGTATATCCTCCTCATTTTTTTCATTTTCATCCTCACTGGATGATCCTAAATAAGCATTTGCTTCTAAATGTTTGTTGATTGCTATTTTATTCTCTGCTTGAGCTCGTCTAAATTTCTGCATATTTGCTTAAAATATTATTTAAGCAATAAAAGAATTACATTTAAAAAAGTATATTTTCTGAAAAAAATACAAAAAATAGAACAGCGATAATTTTTTTATTGATAATTTTATAAAATTATGTACACGTGGTAGAAAGTTGAAAAGAACCTAAAATTATTTTCATTTAACTTATTTACCTGCGTACACCTATGTAAAAAAAATGTTATGTTCAAACAACAGACTGTAATGCATTAATTTCACATAAATGATAAGAAGCTTAAGGAAACTAATGAAATGATTTTGGAATGTATGAGATTTTAATTCTTCCTAATTACAGCCATATTTTTTCCACACACTTCTTTTTTAGATTTGTGATCTACGAACGATACGGTTATACGTTTATTGGTTATTTCATGGAAAATAACAGAAAGTACAGGAAGGAACTAATCATTAATGAAATAATCGTTTATTTTATTGCGAGTTTATTTTCATTGAGCAATACAGATGAGATACAAAAAAAAATATTTTAAGATATATCTTTACAAAAAAATATCTCTACAACAGTGATTCTCAATATCTTTTTTCGGAAAAATGTAAGATCTTTTAATCGAAGCACTCATTAATTGAATTATAATTAAACATAATTAAAAATTGACTAAAACTATTTCTTTCTTTTATAGTATGTTACATGAAATACACAAATCTAGTAAACAACTAAAGTTGAGAAATACTGAAGGATGCATGAGGATATTAACCATCTTTTAATGGTAACACCTAACTAATAATGATATTTAGTTAATAAAATATAAATTTCATAAGTTACGAAATTCAAAATTTGGTCAAAGTAAAACATAAAATACATCATGACATTGGGAAAGCAGTGGCAGAAAAATTTATATGAAAATTATGGTTTGCCGGACAATTATACGGATAGTTCATTTTTGGAACAACTACGAAAAAATATAAAACCACATAATGTAACATTAATACAAGCAATAACATTTGGTGCCAGTGTATGCACTCAACTAAACGTTGTTATTCTTTTTCTCGTTATATTTATTTGGTTAAACAAAGAATGGGCTAGTCCAGATATCGTATTTATATTCGGTGTAATATTCACAGTATTTGGTTACTTTGTATATTGTTTAAAAGAGCCAAATACTTTTACCATGTTAACAGAACATCTTAGAACTGCATTCATTTTTCTTACATTTGGTTATATTTTATCACCTATTTTGAAAACTCTAACCGAAACTATCAGTACAGATACAATTTATGCCATGACAATATTAATGTTCATGGTACATTTAATATTTAGCAAGTATGGTTCTCTGCATATTTCTTTGTCAGATTCTTTATCTATTACATCTTCCATTTTTGGTTCCTTAATGTTAGCATCTAGATTAGCATCAGCATCACATGCTTTTTCTCTTCTCACTGTTGCTGTACAATGTTTTGTTCTATTGCCATTTTTAATGCATAAATTAAGCAGCAAGATACTTATTTCAACTTTTCTAACACTTAATACTTCGTATTTTCTTTTACTAGTTTCACAAACCCTTTCTTATGTTTTCATCGGATCTATAGTGTTTTTACATTTTCTTTGTCCTTACTGGTATGTAAGATGTCAAAAATATAAGGATAATATCTATGGACCATGGGATGAAGCTATTATTACTTCTTAAAAATATTTAATTAAATAAGAACTGTAAATATTTAAATATTTAGTTTATTATTAATAGACACGGTACGCTTAAATTTCTTTTTATAAATTGTGTACATATATAGAAATTAATTATTGGAGATTTGTTTTATCAGTCCAATTTTCATAATAAATACTATTTGCGAGAGTTTTGGCAGTTGATTTGTAAATACACAAATATGTAAAAAAATATGTTCTTATATATTTGAGAATTGTTATACGTAGACGCGGCGTTACTGTACAATTATAAACTGTAATAGCCTTTTAATTCTTCTGACAAGGGCTTCAATAAAATTGTAATCGAGTGTTACGTATTCACTGTGTCTATCTACCAATTGCGCAATAAAACTGTCTGTAAATGTAGAAACGAGACCGTGTTTTAATTCCATTAACGTCTCCGACGATACTTTCCACAATACCATATCTTCATCTATACCCCCTGAAGATACTGAAAGAGAGAAAGAAGAAGAAATTACTATGTTAAACTTCATAAGATTCATTGGATTATATACCAATATTAATATAGTATATAATTTTACCTTGCATTCGGCTATGCCGTGATATCACTTGTATCATGTAGAAATCCAAGTGACTCCAAAGAATATACAAAGCATGTTCTATTATCAAAGAACAGTATTTTATAGTTTGACGTTTCTCCTTTACCGAGCGATTTAATCGTTGTTCTACTATTACTCGTTGCTTTTGCACGTCGAGTTCCGCTTCCTCTTCAGACATGTATTCTTTTAATTCAGTTGTACTCATTTCCCCTACTATTGCTGATTTCTTAATAAGAGTATCAATATGAGGTAATTCAGTGTGTAATAAATTCGTAACAGACACAAGTTGATCGACAATCGTTCCCAAATGTACTCCACCAGATGTATCCTTCATCCGCTCTTCTCTTCCTCCTGGTTTTGATGTTAAATGCGGTTCAAACAGTACATTCCTTATTTTCTGATCCATTCTACTATGTTGCATCTGATTACGTGTATACAGCATAATGTTTGCAACTATCTGTACACAAGAAATGTGTTGCTGGTTTGCATCAGTTTCTTCGTGACTCAGACAAACAGGAGCTGACTGTAATTGGAACTTATATAATAAAGACAACATTAATTTCTGTAATCTATATAGATGAGCACGAAGTTCCCTCATGCCAGAAGCATCTTCCAGTTGACGGTTATCGAAATCTTTCCTTGCCAATTCTTCGTCTACTAGCTTGTACATATCTATATTTGCAGACCTGGATATCACTCCTGTGAGACAGGCAACCTCTTTCAAGAAAAGAGTATTCGCTTTAGGAAAGGCATTTCTTAGTACCATTTCTATGGTGTCTCTATGACTTTGCAGAAAGCCACAAACTTGTATGGCACATGACTGATTCTCTGTTCCAAGAGTTGTGAGTAGAGCATCACAAAGATATAAGGCTGGTAAGAAAATTTGCTGGTAACGTTGACCAATGGAGGGAATAAAAGAATAGTCTCCTCCTTCAAATGCTATATGAACATCAGGATGATGATCAAAAACAACCATACTCGACATGCATGATAGGATTTTATTTTCTAAGAGACTTTCAGCACCTAATCTTGTAGAAGCCATTCTACAAAATGTTGCCATTTTTGCTTCATATAAGTACAATGGTCGCAATGTCTGAATGTCTGGTTGCAACATACATCTTAACATATTGTCAGATTCCAGAAGACTGTCTATCATGTGCTTCAAGTACCCTCTACTGGCTAAATAAATGATCCAAGCACTGTCATAGTCCAATTCTAGGATTTTATCCAAGCAGGATAAAGCCAACATTTTACAGACGTCGTGACCACCCGAGCAATTGTGGCATAGAATATCCATCAACTGATTTCCAAAGCTGTTTATCACTTGTATCGTTGCGTATCGATGGGAGCGTTCCTGAACAGGCATTACTCTATTCACTGAGCTGTCGAGTTGACTGACGTACATTAAATCTATGATGTTAGTGCTCTCTGACTTCTCTAAACCAACCACACAAAGGAAATTTAACAAAGCTGCATACAAATGGGTTATTACTTTCTGAGAAGAAGCTCCAGCGTTTAATATCCACTGCAAAATATGGCTTAAAATGATCTTCATCATCGTTGTATTTGAGGGAGATGATGGAAACGACTCACTGTCTGTGTCTGTGATGAAACTATTTCTGAGATGCACAAGCAACATCAAAACTGTCCCAGATACTAAAGTTTTGATTTCACTTAAAGCTTCACAGGAAGTCATCTTCTGTAACAAATCATGAGATAGGTTTAATAACAGATTTTGTTTTTGTGGTGTTGGGAGCTGTTGATTCGTCGCAACGCAGAAGAGTATTTCTGTAGTTTGACACCAGCCTTCCACAAACTTCACGGTGGCATATGACAACAACTTTGTCTGATTCCTTTTTAAAGCGTGTGTCAAGATTTTCTGTACTTCCTGGTGCATAAGATTACGCTGGGTCGCGGTTGCACTGCTTTGAGTAACAGCCAATTCTTCAGTAATAAGAGAATGTAACTTTCTGATGTCTATAAGCCGGGGACCTCCTATTAACGCAATTGGAACACTACAGCGTCCTAGAACCATTTCTACTTGAGATGGATCGAAGAAATCTAGAGACAATGGAGGGTCTAATTGAAGTTGAAATTCAATGTAATGCAAAAGGTCCATTAGAAGTTTCTGTGATGGAACAATCTGTCCCTTTTCTTGACCAAAGTTTCCAACTAGTCTATGAACTAGAGAATTTTGCAAGCTTCCACCAGCAACTCTCAGTTCTATAGCAGCTATTTTTAATAACCATGACATACAACCAAGCTCTGTGGCTGTGTTCTGTCCCTCAAATGGTAGTTTTGAAAGATGCCTCTGCACAAAATCTTGATTGACACTGGTTCGTAAAAATCTCAGTACTGAGACAGATGTCTTATTATTAGCAGTCAATGTGTGAAGGAAGCAGTAGCAAGCCTCTGTTATCTTGTCCCGACCACGGTCAAGAGACTGCTCCATAATCCCCAATATTGAGTGTAAACATGATCTTGGAAAGCCAAGAATACCCGGCTGTTGTAGAACTGTCTTCCTAATATCCGTAGTGATCGTAAAATCTAACAAATAATGAGAAAGATTGGGAGTGGGTCGTGTAATGCTCTGCATCATTAGAAGCAGAATTCGCTCCTTGCAGCTACCAGTATACTGTTTCTCATTCGAGTCAGTATCCTCATCCAGTGCTGTATCTGCGTCCAAACATTCCACGAAACCGTGTCTGATGTTCGTGGCCAAAGTAGGAGTGGCTGTGAACGTAGAAAGCAATTCAGAATCTGCTCCTGGTACGTTAGTCACCTCGTGAATAACACCAACGGCATGGAACGCGTGTTGTGGTAGCCAGGAACTATACGAAACGTATTTAGCTATATTTATCATGTAGTCAGGCTTCTTAGATTGTGGATCCACTTCGAGAAGTAACCTTGATAATCCAGTTAGAATTTTCTGAACAAATTTAGCAGCAGCTAATTGTGCCGTGTAATAATCGTGTTGCGTCTTCAAGCCTCTTTCCAATATTTCCAAGCAGTATAAAGTACTACTCTCAAGATTATTTTTACCAGGAAAGGGTTCGTAGCTGTCGAAACTGCTGCAACCTTTATCCAGAACATATAGTATAACATGAAGTAATTCAGATTTTGAATGTAACTGAGTCATTATGTGGTATCCAGGAGCAGAGTTAACCACCGTGGTTTCTCCACTCTGAAGTTCCACTTTGCAGCCAGTGAAATCCTCTGCAGCTGGTTCATATTGTTTTATAAGTTTAGAGAATATTTTTAAGCAAGCTTCGGCAACTTCCCACTTCTCTGCTGAATTTTTATATGATCGCGTGTGAAATTTTAAAAAGACAGTATTAATGATAAAGTGTAAATATGGGTCAAAACCAGGATTACGCTGACCCATTCCCAGTAATCTCGGTATAGGAAAGTCAGTAAGAACGTCTAAAAGCTCTAACATTGCTCGGGTCAATGGATATTCGTCTTTCTTCGACTCAATTTCTTCCAACTCAGTTTGAACGCCTCTTGGTTGGTAACTGCTTATAGTTGGTATGGTTGAAAGTATCTGTGCGGTCTCCAAACTTTGCCATACAGTAGATGAACTCTCAGGAGATCTTGCTAATGCAGCAAGTGTTCTTATTAAAACGCCTTTCAGTGGAATCGAAATTCCACAACTTACTAAACCTATCAAGGATGGTAGTACTTTCCATCCAGGATGATCGCATATAGCTATCCTTGACATTTCGTCGTTTTTTGCGATCACCTGTACCACCAAGAGTACAGCCTCGAGGCCTTTGACTTCTTCTGGTGTAATACCTTTCGGATGACTTCTTTGACGGTAAACGGTGTCCTGATTAGGGGGCAATTCTTTCCTGAGATTAATATAGTAGCGGCTTAAAGAATTGAAGAAGTGGTCCCAGGAAATTGTTGTTGATCCAGAAGATCCTATGGGTATTTTTATATTATTTGTTTAAGAAAACAGAAATAATATTTTAAAGAAGATAATTCTTACCATTAGGTTTAAGAAAATTAAATGCTTGTCGTGCAGCTTGCGGAGATGACGCGAGAGATGCTATCATTTTAAGATACGGTACGAACAATCCTGCTGGTAGTATTTCCCCAGCAAGACGTACAAATTTAAATAGAGCAACCTGTCTAGAAGGTAAACGATTAATATACGCAGGAACAGACGTGTGTGTGGAGTCAGAGTGATGACACCAATAGTCCATGACTAAATCCAATTTTAGAGGGTCTTCTTTATACAATTCCGCCACAGTTAACATCAAATACTCGAAGTGGTTGTCCAGATTCAAAGGTGGTTCAATGCCCTCTTGTTGGTACGCTTGAATGAGACGCATGGATTCATCCGCTCGACTTCGTAGATCTTTAACTTTCAAAGGCATTAGTAATATGAAATCGGAAACGAGAGAGTGGAAGTAACGAAGATAAAATTCTTCCTGATATATGCTCTTATTCTTGAATAATACTTTAACCATAAAATGAAAACATTTGTTAGATAAAGCTGCTTCTAGTAGTCTTTCATCTTCAGTAGTAATATTTAAAGCCTGTACATTACTCCCGGTTTTAATTGTTGTTAGAGAAACCGCAAAAGCAAACTGTACAATTCCGCGTAATTCAGCACACTCCCAGTTGACATTAGTAGATACTAATTTCTGATGTAATTCTTCGTGTGCTCCTCGTTCCGCGATCAATGGCATAGAATTAATTAATTCTAAAAAAAAGCATTAAATAGTATAAAAATTATTCTTACAATCAATTAAAATGTATATTATACCTTCGCCATTTTCACGGCTATGCAACGAACTAAGATTAATCGCATTTAACACGCTCATTACGATAGAAAGAGTGACTTTATCCAGGCCTCCTTCACTCGCTTCAGAGTCGATTTGTTTCGTTTGTAATAGAGATAACAGGCGGAATAAAATTGAATTTGGTAACGCGGATTGCGCGGACCATAAGTATAAAATATCAGCTAAATCTTGTCTAGAATCGTTGTAGAGTTTCATGACCATATAACGATGCTTTGGTCCGCCTAATGCCCGATTTTTTTCTAGTAATTCTTGCTCTTTTACTGGATCCATTTTTTCCAGCAATGATAAAATCCTATCTAATAGACCATCTTCTTGTAATTTATTTGTGTATTCTGTAATGTGTCTTAGAAGAGCAATGGGAGCATCAATTTTCCAGCTGTGCCCCATTCTAGCTTGTATAAGCATTCTTAAAGTTGATGTGAGTGCCTTCTTTCCATCATAATATAGTAAAATAGCTGTTAATCCCCTTGGTAAGTTAGGGTTATGAGGCATTTGCAATTGAGCAGTACAGAGAAGATCCAATGCCATGAACTCATTAAGTTCATACATATCTGATATAATAAGAGTTTCATCAACTAATTCTTTTGATAATACTTGATATCCTAAACCAGGAAGTGTAATACCATCTGTAACTCCCTTTGTTATTTCTTCCCTACTGTTCACATTTGGAGGCTGCAATAAATTTTTAATTTTTTTATTGTTATATTTAATTACTTGGTATCATGCAATCACTTACAAGATTTTTTAGAAGAGTAAGAAAATTTTGCCTATGATTACGTAAAGTTTCTGTGAATTCATGATACTGGAGATCATGAGTTGTAGGTGAAGAGGTAATATACCGTTCTACAAGACTCTGCAGTTCTTTGTAGGGAGTCCACATGTCCTGTGTTGTTCCTTTTTCTGTGGTATATGAAAAAATTTTTAATTCTACAATATTATTTAAAATTTTGCAACTTCGTACCCTTAAAGCATAACATTGAAATATACGAATTGTACATTGTTAAAACTAATATAATTCAAATATATCGTAATAATTTAAATGTCACAGGTTAGATTTCCCATGTAAGATTAAAGATGTAGGTATTCGTATAAATAAAAAATTACCTTCTGACATTTTATTAAAATAAATGGATCGTTATAAAAATACAAATCTGGTGGTACAGAATATCGTACTTAAATGTAATGGAAAAAAAGAAATCTTGTGCAACATAATACAAATACCGGTCCTCTGGCGGGAACGACGGACTTATTGATAATTACAAACCACTGAATAAATATACATAATGGTGAATATAGATGCACTTCTTGCTAAAAGTGCATTTTACTTTGAAAAATTTTTCGAGTAGGTTCATCTTCATTATAATCTCATTTTTAATTTAAGCATTATTTTTCTACATTTAACATGTAATGATAGCAATTAGTGTTTGTCATATTTGAATTAAAGAAAATTATTATTCCCGTTTTTCGTAGTTGATACGTTTATATGAGCATTGAATAGTTTGCTTTATCTTATCATGAATGTAGGTAGCATAACTACCAAGCAACTATAGTCTATGCTTTTTTTCTTTCGAGTTGCGATGTTTCTGAGTTAGTAATTTAAATGACATTATTTTGTTACTTTTCTTGTATTGTAAAATTCGTAAATTCGTAAGTTCACATCACGGTTTACGTAATATATATAAAACTACATAAATGTACGATGCGGAACGATAAAATATGTGATAAAAAATATACATATGTCGCCGGCCGGTAATTTTGTGTACGTGGACAGTTTTTGGATAGATACTAGTATTTAAATTCGTGTAGTCTATCTGTTTAGCATGTAGTTGCTATGCTTCGTTGAAATAGCATATTTGCTACTGTGTTAATCAATTTTTCAATTGAACGCTCAAGATTTTTTATTATCAATCTTTGCAAGGTAGTAACCTAATGCTAACTGACAAACGCCATGTGTCTTTCGTTGCAGCTCCTATTCTTACAATTCTGTAATGCATTAAAGATTTTTGTAACGCATAATTGTGAAGTATTTAGTTGCTTTCCGCATGCGAGACAATTGTAGTTTTTGTTGTTGCTAAAAAAATGTAATATATATTAGCAGAATTAATATATGCTCCTCATTTTCTTTTTCCCATAGATAAATTCACTAAAAGTGGTTCTTAATTACTTAAAAAGTTATACCTCATAGCCTCATCAATATGGCTTCATTGATGAAGACAAGAGGTTTGCGTATGTCTGCACAGAAACAGGAAACACTTTTAAAGTTGACTGTATTGTCTCTTGCAGCAATTTTATGTAAGTATCCTGAATAAGAATAAAAAATATTTTTGTGATCTTCTATATACTTTTAAATACAATTTTGGTTTCTAGCATTTGCAACCAGATTATTCTCAGTCTTAAGATTTGAGAGTGTCATTCATGAATTTGATCCATACTTTAATTATCGCACAACAAAGTATTTAGCAGAAAATGGATTTTATAGTTTTCATAACTGGTTTGATGATCGTGTTTGGTATCCCTTGGGAAGGATAATTGGAGGTATATTTTTTCAAATTAATTTATACTATATGTTCTTGCAGTACTAATTTAAATTGAATGTTAATTTGTTTCACAGGGACAATATATCCAGGTTTAATGATAACTTCAGCAGCATTATACCGTCTTTCATGGTTACTAAATATTACTTTAGATATACGCACTATTTGTGTCTTCCTTGCTCCATTATTTTCTAGTTTAACAACAATTATTACTTATTTGCTTACCAAAGAATTGAAGGTAAAAATATTTATATTATTTTGGATAAATTAAAAATATTATTTTGTGCATAATTTTTAGGACTCTGCATCAGGATTATTTGCTGCAGCCATGATAGCAATTGTTCCTGGTTATATATCCCGATCAGTGGCAGGATCTTATGACAATGAAGGCATAGCTATTTTTTGTATGTTATTTACATATTACATGTGGATCAAAGCAGTTAAAACTGGAGCTATTTGTTGGGCAACATGTGCTGCACTTGCATATTTTTATATGGTGTCTTCTTGGGGAGGCTATGTATTCCTAATTAATCTAATTCCGTTACATGTATTGACCTTAATGGTGACTGGCAGATTTTCTCATAGGATATACATTGCATACAGTATTCTATACTGTCTAGGAACAATTTTGTCTATGCAAATATCATTTGTTGGATTCCAACCTGTTCAAAGTTCTGAACATATGCTTGTAAGAGCAGACAATATTTGCCTTAAGTTTTCAGGTAATTTTCCAAATAGAACTAATTTCTATTTTGTATACAGGCATTAGGAGTGTTTGGACTTTGTCAGATTCATGCCCTAGTTGATTTTTTACGCAGCAAAGTATCACAAGACGACTTTGAAGTATTATTCCGTGGTCTTGTTATTTCTATAGTTACTACTTCGTTTATATTAGGTGTTATTTTGACCATAACAGGTATATATAATAATATTAATAAAGTATTCTTAAATTTGAATGATATTTACATTTCATAATTTTTTTAAAGGGAAAATATCTCCGTGGACTGGTCGTTTTTACTCTCTTTTGGATCCGTCTTACGCAAAAAATCACATACCAATCATTGCTTCCGTTTCTGAGCATCAACCAACATCATGGAGTTCTTTTTATTTTGATCTCCAAATTTTAGTATTCCTATTTCCATCGGGTTTATATTTTTGTTTCTCAAAATTAACAGACTCTAATATTTTCCTCATTTTGTATGGAGTCACAAGCTTGTACTTTGCCGTAAGTAAAAAGATTTACTAAAAGCTTCACTAAAAAGCATTTAAAGATCTCCGAATTTCTGCAGGGTGTGATGGTTCGTTTAATGTTAGTTCTTGCCCCGGTAATGTGTATCTTGGGTGGAATTGGAGCTTCCTCTTTACTCGTTACTTATATGAAACAAGTAGAGAGAGGAAAAGTTATTGATAAGAAATCGAAGAAGTTTGAAAGTAACTACATACTCAGAAGCGAGGTAATTATATTGAAATAGTAAAATTTTTACGAAATAAGTATTGTAATCAATGCATATTAATTTTCAGATTGCCATCCTCTTCATAACTGTAATGTGCGTTCTCTTTTTTTCGTACACCATTCATTGCACGTGGGTTACAGCAGAAGCTTACAGTTCGCCTAGTATCGTATTATCAGCTCGTTCTCCAGATGGTGGTCGCATGATTTTTGATGATTTCCGAGAGGCGTATTATTGGTTACGCATGAACACACCAGAAGTAATTTTACAATATTTCCAATAATTTTTTGATAATTTGTAACGTTTAAAATTATATTTCCTAAACACAGAACGCCAAGGTAATGTCTTGGTGGGATTATGGATATCAAATCACGGCAATGGCGAATCGTACGATCTTAGTGGACAATAATACATGGAACAATACTCACATATCAAGAGTCGGTCAAGCAATGGCAAGCTCTGAGGAGAAAGCTTACGAAATAATGAGAGAGCTAGATGTTAATTACGTTCTTGTTATTTTTGGAGGACTTACAGGCTATTCATCGGATGGTATTACACAATTAAAATAAGTAACTAAAAGTATTGAATTATTTAAAATCTTGGTTGATTGTAATTTTAGATATTAACAAGTTCCTATGGATGGTGCGTATCGGCGGAAGCACTGAAAAAGGAAAATCTATAACAGAATGGGATTATTATAATTCTGCAGGAGAATTTAGAGTCGACAAAGAGGGTTCTCCAATCTTGCTCAATTGTCTTATGTACAAAATGTGTTATTACAGATTTGGTCAAGTTTATACAGAAGGAGGTAAATCTTTTGACTGTTCTGTTTGAAAATAATTTATGTTTAAAGATAAGTAAATCGTCAATAATGTGATGATTAAACAGGCAAACCTTCTGGATACGATAGAGTCAGAAACATGGAAATTGGTAATAAAGACTTTGAGCTAGACATGTTAGAAGAAGCCTACACCACAGAACACTGGCTTGTACGAATTTACAAAGTGAAAGATTTGAGAAATAGAGGAATTTAAAGAAGTGTGGACTGATAGAATAAAAAGAGAAGTAATGACACCTTTGTAAACTGTTTCATAATTTCAGTCGCTTATAAGTTTTTATAATTGTCCATAAGATACCAACATGGCACTAAATACAGAATTGCATATTTCCATTAAGCATCAACATAATTGATAAACTTTTGTAAAAAACAAACTGCGACCTCGTTATATACATTTAATTTTTCGTAAAAGAAATGTAGTTACAGTAAAGCTTCCCACATTGTCCTTCAGCTCGGAACCGAATTGTAACTGTTTCGGTACAGGGATACTGTTTTTCGAGCCTCGCAGCTTGCCTTTGTAGTTCGCCGAACGCAGACAAGGACAACAAATAAAAGAGAAGGATGATATGAGAGTCGAGGCAACCGAGCGATTAAAACACCAGCGTTTTTATATTTAACTTTTTCTGTATGAAAAAGTTCATAACATATTGATGAGATTGTCTGATCAAAATGAGACCAAACATAATATAATTTGAATAACAGTTACTTATTAATACTTATTGAGTAACTCATTTCATTTCATTATCGCATTACAAAAACGGATTGCTAGAAAAATACGTAAAATACTTCTACACATTATCCATTGAATGTAAGCTGTGCCTCCACGTTGTCTGTCAAATACATAAGCTGTGCCTGGACAATGTGGCGGCACAACCTACATTTGACGGACAATGTGAAAGAAAAATTACATTTGAGGGATAATGTACATAGAGAGATGTTTTATATTTTCCGGCATCACATTTTTGTAATTTATCAGAAACTTGTAATGAAGACATAAAACTACATATGTATATAAAAATGGGATACTTAACATTTTCTTATTTGTCCGGTACCGGAAAGATACATAAAACATCCCTTTATGTACATTGTCTCCCGAATGTAATCCTTTTCGAAATGTAACCATTTCCCGTCAAATGTAGTCGGTGCCTCCACATTGTCGCTCAAATGTAGGCTGTAAATGTGGTTTAAATTATATCATGTTTAATCTCATTTTAATCGCAAAAATCTCACCAATATGTTACAAAATTTTTCAGATAAAAAAAATAAAATTAAAAAATGTTATTATATTATGAATTGTCAGGTCGTGAACTCTCATAAAAAAACCACGTCGCGCATCGCATTACACTCATCGCACACTTGACTGACTCCGAGAAAGATAAGGCTCGATTCACACTAGCAGTCCACTTCCGGTCCGGTCAAATATTTTTCTATGATTTAGAACGTACTCATTCACACTACGTGTAACGCTCCGGCCATGGTCCGATCAGGGTCTGGTCTCGTCCCAGCAACTAATCTTTGAAAAGAATATTTTACTGGGACGAGACTGGACCGGACCGGGACTGAACCCATAGTGTGAACGCGTTTCTTGATCTACCACCGGTTATTCCATTCCAATTCCAATTTTGATGAAACTAATATGTGTAGTGTATTTTTTTTCATTCGTATCACAAAAGATGGAACTTTTTAAGAATATTTTTAATTTTGTTGTACGCACCCTTTTCAATATGAAAATTGTAAATAAATTTTTGTTTTGCAAAAACGAACCCTTACTCTCGTTTTTAAAAATCTAACAATGTTGGAATCTATGTGAAATAATGATGAGTTTATGTCATCATTTTGTTGGCTTCAAAGTTATTCACAAATGATGACATGTTGAAAACCGCAAAAAAAGCGGATTTTTAGCCAAACATAGATGTATAAACTAATTTATATTTCGAGAGCAAAGCGGAATTGGACCGGCAGCGGTTCGCTAGCATGAATACTCAGAGATTTGACCAGACCGGGAGCGGATCACTAGTGTGTATTGGGCCTGACAGGTGTAGGTATAACACATAGCTAGACGTAGGGACAACGAATGGACAATGTGAAGGAAGTACTAGTAGAGACAATGTGAGAGGATTTATGTATACCGATTTATAAAGTCATTTAATTTTGGAGGTAATCTTTATACTAATCGTGAAGGCTGGAACAACATATTTATTTTAATAGTCTTTATAAAAAGTGTACTGGTATTTGTAACTTAAAGAATATTCGGAGTGTAGTTTATTGAGCTGGATATTCTTAAAGCAGCATTTATTTTGACATTGAATTATTAAATGATCCCTGTGTTCAACGATAATCATCATCGTCATAATTGCTTCCTTCACACGAATTAAGTTTAATTACGCGACGTATAAAAGGGTAAATTTGTTACTTATATATATTGAGAATTAATAATATGAAGATTTAATTTATAAGATGCTAATCGTGTAGATGGAAAAAAAAAATTTGCATTAAAGAAAAAGATCAATTTTCTTTCATATGCAAAATGATATATGATAAACATGAAAACTGTCACACACTTTTCAGTAGTATTTTACTATATGTGAAACAATATCCAGTGAGTTTGGATTGCAGTGCATGCATATATGTTATTAGGAATACGTAACGATCTACCATCCGTATATTTTAGAAAACGCATGCCTTGATCATATGTTGCTTGAAAGTGTAATTAACGTTAGCTTTTGTTTTGTAAACACGGCTCAGGTCGGGACAGTTAAAGTCGATCGGTTTCGAGTAGCTCGATCGTGTCGAGTAACCCGACACATTCGAGTTAGATCGGAAAAAAGTCTGCTAGACTCGAGCAAGTTCCTCAGGTACTCGAGATTCGCTTCAGAAACATTGAAACCTATTTTTTGATCTGACCCGAATGTGTCCGGCTACCCGACGTGATCAAGCTACCCGAGTGTTCGGATACCAGCTTGAGTTCACCCGAATTTAAAAATCCCGATCCGACGCACTCCTGGTGTACAGAGACATGTGTGATATCCTGATGGCAATATGGAAATAAATATGAACAGACAGCATTTTTTTTATGCATACATTTTATTCAGATATATTTTACAGTTTGACATTATTATTTTACAGACATACTTAAAACTTAAAGATATAAGAAACAGTTCGAACAGTTACGTGTCTTTTTTATTTAAGAAAGATCAGAGTCATACGAATTGCTTTGTTTATACAGTTTGCCAGTTCGAATCTTACACTTAATAGTAGTATCATTAATTTAAGAAACTTAGGAATGCAATATGTTCGGTTAAATAATAATAAATTTATCAATTGGTGCATAAGAAAATTTCATTTGCAAATGTGTTTGATTATCTCCTAATGGACCATAATGGATCTAGTTGACTCAGTGGATCGACCGCTCCTTCTTTAGATTTCTCTTGAATCGATGTTGTAGCAGAATGCGTTGCACCGCTAGTAGTTGACCCTTTTTGTCGACCTAAGATATAATCAGGGTTGAACGTATTTTTCTTCATGAAAAATATTATCGTATAATACCTTCAGTATCTGGTCGTTGGGCATTGATACCAAGACTCTGGAGAAAATCGTCGGAAGGATGCATCTTTCTTGACGTTTTATCCTTGTTTCCTTTCAGTCCTTCGAAGTTTTCAAATGTCGAACGAGTAGAAGATAAGATACCACCTAACATTTAATAAGTATTACTTTTAACTAATTCAATCAAATTATATTAATAACCAAAAATAAAATAATCCCTACGTTTCATTAAAATGTCCTGGGCATGGTATAATACCAATTGATACGCAAATAGCAAGGACTCTTTATTTACAACTTGTTTGCGGCACTTCAGAAGACCCTTGAATACGAGAGGTACATTGACTATTCCGCAGCCAGCACGTATATGACACACTGTTGCTGCTGCAACTAAGAACAGGCTACTTAATGCTCCACCATCCAAACAATGTACCACTATCGGTTTTGTACAACGTCTCAAGGCTTGTTCTGTCATTACATCTGTCGAGAATGTAAGCAATGCTCCTGGACTACTAGGAAAACCACTAAAAAATGAAAAAGAGCAAAATTACATGCATGAATTGTATATCAGAATTATATATTAATATTATTCATCTTTAAAACTCACTTTGAAGGCCATGTAAGGAATTGCATGTGCACGACAGTCTTTTCCAAATTTTTCTTAATATTGTGTACAGAAATAACTCTCTGAACATAGGACACATGATTCACTCTTCTTTTTAACGAAATTGTAAAGCTACCAACACTCAGAATATCCTCTTCGTTTATAGGCCAATATATCTCTCCGTTTAACTGTGCATCAGATACTAAACACGCAATTATTTCGCTCTCTTGTTCCCATATCATCATCCAAAATACCTCTAATATGTTTGGTAATGGTGCTTGAGTAATAATAAATGCTGTTGGTATCCATTGAGTAATTTCCATTATGTGTGAAGCATTAATATAGTTTGGAATATCTGTCGATGATATTTGTACCCTCGTTGTATCATACGGGATACATTCCATTACCCTATTTTCTGAAGAATGAGCTAAAGCTACTGTACACGATTGTTTTCCACTCTCTCTTTCCTGAAATTGAGATGTATCATTTTGTAACATTTAAAAAAAAACTAAACACTATACAAATAATTTAGGAAACCATACTTCAAATTCTTGAACTTCCTTCCATTTTATGTCAAGATTAGTCGCTCCGCTTAATGTTTTAACAAGTAAACTATCTACAAATTTCTCATATTTCTCAACTTCACTGATGAACTTCTGTAAAGCTGCTGGATCTCCTAAAGGATCTTTTTTGGGCTGTACGTCATTGTACCATGTGTCCCAAACGATTTGTAAATTTTCATTGTCCGTTTTATCTTCGGTAACAATGGACTGAGCATTAATTTGTTCATCTTCGTCCTTTTTTTTATTGTCGTCGCTAACAGCGTCTTTCGTTGTAGTTTCTTCTTGAACTTTATTGAGAGGACGTACTTCTGGTACTAAAGGTGCATGATTTATGGTAACATCAAGATCAGCAAGCAAATCTACATTAGACTTCTCTGACTTTGTAGCAGTTTTGGTAGGATTTGCACTTGTTGTTGTATTAGTTCCATTATTAACAGCTTGCATGTATGTCTGGTTGTAATTAGTGTAGTTTTCATTTTTATTAATGGATGCTGAGAAAAGATTAAATGTAAAATTTACACGAATTCTACTGAATTAGACGAGGATTAAAAAAAAAAACACTTTAATACTTACCTTGATTTTGCATTTGAAGACCATATGGAGTAGTATAATAAATATCACTTGAACTTTGAGACTGATAGCTCTGTCCAGAATATTGAGAAGATGGAGTTTGACTGACCATAGAATTATTACTAGCATTCGTGTATCTTGCATTACTTTCTTGTTGCTGATACGAATTACTATTGATACCAGTATTTATTTGAGGTGTTAATTCAGAGGGTTGTTGCGAATCTTGAAGGGATTGTGAAGTTTGAAGACTGCTAGGATTGTATTCATAACATTGAGTCGTAGGATTATAAGTGTATCCTATTTGGCCTTTGTTGTATGACTCTGTCATTGCACTGTTTCCTTGATTTCCTTGCATGTAATTGTATCCTTGATTGTAATAGGCACCATAACCAGAGTAATGTGATTGTTGTGGATACTGGTATGTTTGTGAATAGTTCTGCACACCTGCTGCAGACTTTGTGTGACTTTGAATTATTTCTGTATTGGTCGAAGAGTTCGTGTACGCGTATGTACTACCTGTATTGGTGGACAACATGCTTTGTGGATATGAAGCACCAGTAGGATGCTGCAAACCGTGATAAGTATTAGGGTAACTCAAATTTGTGTCATTGGTAGATACTTGTGGTGCATATTGATACGCTTTGTCGGTATAAATTTGTTTATTCTGCTCCGTACCACTCGGTTGCGGGTATTGTGAATTGAAGTTGGAAGTTGAAGGATACGAAATAGCCATGTCATTTACTGGAGCAGTTAACGAGGTAGTAGAATGAACAGACTGAGGAATGTTCGTGTTCATATATTGTGTTTGTATGTACTGCGTAGAGGCAGAAATATTCGTCGTCCCAGGTGTATTTTGACTGGATGTACCTTGTTGAGTACGAGATTCGGATGGGGTATAATACATTCCACCATTGTAACCTTGAGTACGCGGAACTTCGGTTTGGTTAACTTGAGGAATATAATTTTGTATTTGAGTATTATCCATTGATAGTACTTGCTGACTTCTAACAATTGCAAGGGATTCTTGAGAGACAAAATTTTGCTGTGGTTCAGGTATGTGTTGCTGCCCTTGAGCCACGGTAGTATAAGAATGTGGTTGCACATCTGTAGTTTTATTCACTGTATTCGATGAAGGTATAGCTGTTTGTGGTATCGCTGATGGTGGAGGAGGTACCTCAGGTGTAGTAATACTAACAGTCTTATCAAGATTAGAAGGATATTGCTGTGCAACGTTATATCCAGTATAGTCAACAGAAGGCTGGTAAGCCTCGTACTGCATCGTATTACTAGGATAATTATACTGTGGTTGAGTGTTAGTGGAATACTTATGTTGTCCATCCAAAGCTGTAGGAAATTGTCCATTGGTTATATAAGAATTTACTGGATACTGCACTGTAGTATCTGTCGTCGTATTTGTTGCAATTCCTTGTGAATAAGTATTTGCAATGTCTGAGCTATTTATTTGCATATAATTTTGATTTAAAGCAACATTCTCGTTATAGGTAGACGCTTCATGAGAATAGGGTAAATTTGCTTTGTAATCTGTATATGGTGCAAGATAATATTGCTGCATAGGTTTCGCAGATGATATTGTTGCATCTAATGCAGGCATTCCACTAGGATGTACTGCACCCTTATTTACTGTGTCATTATAATATGTTTTTGTTGTAACATCCATTTGAACTTGTTTACCTTGTCCTTTATATACATTATAATATTGATTTGAAACATTCTCCGGCCTGTTATTTAAGTAATCTTTTAATTTAAGTCCGCTGCTTGTTCGACTGCGTTTCTGATCATATGCAGCTGCTATCGCCGTGTCCACTTTATCTTGAGTATTTTTATTACTGTCCTGTGCAAGTATATGTTCACGTTCTTCTTCTTGCACCTTACAAGTACTCTTCACTCTCTGAAGTAACTTTGAAACGTTTATTTCTAATTTCCTATAAAATTCGAGACCTTTGTTAGACTTTACTAATAAATCTTCGTAAGCATCGTAAGACGCAATTAAGGAAGTAATTGTATGTTCTCGCCGCTTTAATATCTCTTCGACTCCCTTTCGTACATTAGCAGTTTGAGCATAAGCATCTGTTAAAGCTGCTAAAATATTCTCTTGCGCGGCAAGATTTTGCTCAATCAACGACACCTGCAATATTCATCGTATAAAAATATTAAAAATAAAATATATTTTAAATGTAATAAAAATATGCATTCTAACCAGAGTCTGATGTTTACTAAGTTGATCCGCGAATAAACGATCCAAGGGTCCAGAATCAGACGTGGCAGTAACTAATAAGCGTGTCAGATCATCCTGTGCAACTGAATCTCGCAATTTTGTATGTAATTCGTTTCTCTGTAAACGCATTTCGTCTACTTTGTACAAAATACGTTTCAATTCCTTTGTATGCATTCGTTCTAATTCAATCGCGCTATGCGATTTTTCAGTATTTTGTTCTGTGGAAAATCCAATGTTTTATGTAAAGGAATTCGTATAATTTTGTATAAAATATTTTTTTTAAATTTGAATACTACCTGAAAAATATATACTTGGCGAAGGTATATGGGCCATGAGGTCGGCAAGTGGTTGTGAAAGTATTTTTAAATTCTTCACAAGCATCGTTATTGCTTTACGAAGAGCGTGATTGCTTTCAGAAGCTTTATTATGAGCCTCTTCGTATTTCTTAGCTTCCCTTGTTAAATCAGTAGCTACTATAGACGGTGGTCTCTTTCCAACTGCATCCTGGTATTCTTTTTCTCTATAACAGTAAAGCAAGAACAATTATATTAACAACTAGAGACAAAATAAATTATCTCAACCTTTTAATAATTAAATAGTAACTTTTGTTCTTCATCCAAGAGAAGCTTCTTAATTTCTTTTAATATTTTTTCAACGTCATCGCTAGTATCACACAATTTCCTCATTATGTCAACTAAATCTTGAATGACGTGCTGCTTTGCGTTTAATGCCGCGCATCTCTCAACTAATTCCTCAGGAAGAGGTAAACGCTCCCACTCCGTAGTTTGAGCATCGGGATCCCATAAACTCATATGTTCTAATTTTAAGGACGTAAGATAGGTATTGAGTTGCTGATCTTTGTCCTCGATTTTACTACCGACAGATCGCAATAGTTTTGCCTTTTCTTCCGAATATAGAGAACTCGCTTCATGTACCTTCATTGGTACTAATCTATGTCAAATATTATACCATGAATAACAATTAAATTTGAAATATCTTATTAATATAGACATACCTACCTGGCAAATATATCAGGACCTGAAATTTCAGAATCGTTAATACTAAACGACATCCCTTTAACTAAAGGGGCTCCCTTTATTGTAGGTAGTGTTTCTTTTTCAGGAATTTCCTCATGGTATATAAATTCATTTTCATTTTTTGCAGCCTTACGTTTCCCTTCTATCACGTCGTTTGTAAATGTGAGCGCTTCCTCTATAATTGTTTTCTCTCCAGGAATATTCGAATAAATTAATTGTGCTTCATTCAAAGAAGTTAATGCAGCATTATAAAATGCCACTCTTTCACCCATTTTCCTTTGCTCTTCAGCAGCTAGGCCTTGATATAAATATGTAACTGCTAAGTGATAAGCTTTCTTGAATTTCAGATAATGTTTCCAGCTCTGAGAAAATAAATTCTTAAACTTGTGATATTTTAAGATATAATAAAAGGGAATAGCTTCTGAATATACCTTATAGATTTTAGTACCAACTGTATCTGATATAGTTCCATCCTCACTCCCACCTTGTTCAAGGGTAGATAATGCCAGAGTAAAATAATCCACTATTTGTCTTGCGACTTTTGCTGCATGATACATATATCTTGTAGAATGATAGACATAAGAGTAGACGATTAAAGCCACAAAAGGTTTAATACATCTATGCAATTTTTAGTTGTTTCATACTTACCTACAATTGTGGGTTTACGATTATCAAGCATACTCTTTTCCAATATACATTCTTGCGCTTGAGCTAGACAAAGTTGATGCATAAATGTCATTAGTTCTGGTGCTAAATCTACACCAGATGGTTGTGGATAACTGTTCTTTAAATGCTCAAAAGCCCATGCAGCACATTGAAAGTGAGAACATGCCATTTTCATCCCATCTGCTGATGTCCTTTCAGTGAGTGCTCCCAACTGAGTGTGCATTGCACCAATATTATACAAGATTGAAATGATTTCAAAGCGAATATTTGCTAACGAACAGACCATATTTGCATATGTATCCCTCCTGTTCAAATTACAAGTATACAAATGATTAATTCCAATAGTTACATACATTTATTTTCTTTATATTTATCTTGTCAATTGTTTTACCATGTAAATGTAACAGCTGCTGCACCATCTTTTCCCATAGGAAATCTACTTTGAAGAAAATGTAACTGACAATAATACTTTTTCAACAATGAACAACCAGTTACATTAATAGGTGGTCGTATAGCCATTGCACGTAAACTTTCTAATTGATGTATTTCATGCGAGTATGATTCCGGATCTTCATTATAAAAATCACGTATATACTAAAAAGAGAAACCAGGAGAAAAATGTTTATAATTCTAATTAGATTAATTATAACATATCGGAATAAACCAACGAACAATTATGTCGCTCGATCGGGAAACAAAAATTTAGAATAATAGTTTAACTTTAATCATAGTAAAAGTAAAAATTAAAAATTAATGTACATTTATTATATTACTATAATTTGTAATGTCATTTATACATACCTGCTTTAACTTTGGTCCAAATGTAGTCAATTCAGGACTAACTTTTAATTGAAAGGATATCATCGGTAACCTCGGTACAGCTTCCATTATAAAGTATTTATTAAAATTATCTATTCGAAGTTTCGGAAAACTGACAGTTGATTATCTGTCAAACTCGTAGAAAATGGATTTGTTCATGGAACATACTTTTCGTTATCACGTACTTATGACGAATGTAGTTACCGTCTTCGGGCAGGTATTCATGTACGAAAGTAGTTTCATTTATGTTGCATAAGGTTTCCTTACTAAGTTCCTACATTATTTATATAATATTTCGCAATCTCTTGTAGTATCATTAATTGTAATAAAAAATTTAAATAGTGGTAGAATATAGATTAAGAGCACATACTTAAGGGAAAATCGCTTTTTGTAAATTAGTTAAATAAGAATGCATCTTATTGCGTTGCAAGATATACTGGAATTTACCAACGGTTTGTGTTCAACTACAGAAAAGATTTAGAGACTGGACATGATGCAATACGTCTATGGTTGAATTACTATTTGTTTGTTTCTTCGTGAATTAACAAAGTGTGCGAGTACAAATGGAGAAAATATTGATAAGGATCAAGTTGCATTTTCCCACTGTATCTCGTAAAACAACGTGTTGCATATGAAGCGTTAATGTATTTTTCGTGAATCCGGTGAATGTTTGTGCTTCACTTTCCATTTATTCATAATTATGTACAGTATAATACCAATTAAAAGTGGATACATTAACTTATAATATGTCAGAAAGTAGACTTGACATGGATATTGATAATCAGAGCGAGGACGGAGAAATAAAGAAAAGCCCCTCGAAGGATATGGACGATTTTAGGTATCGAACAACACGATGCTTGATTTTAATTAACCTTCAAACTAATTGACTAATTTTACATTGTTTTATTTTGCTTTTCAGCTAATTTAAAAAAGTATATCGACACGTATAATACGTTAAAATATTACAATGATGTTCTTTCATTGCCGATCTTTTTCTCTAAATTAAATATGTCGCTTTCAGTGGCATAATGTACTTCTTTTTTTTACATTAACCTAATTAAAAAAAATTCATCTGTTCTAACAAATCACTTTTGTGTGCTTAAGCATTAGCCGTTTTGAGAAAAGTATACTTAAAGCTTTTCAGAGGAGGATGGTGGAGATACAGCTGATTCTCTGGATATAAAGCCACCACAGGCTGTTGTCCGTCATCACAAGTCTAATTCATCCAGAAGAAGAGATAAACACGGTGACAGAAGAGATCGTAGGGAAGATAAGGAAAGAAAGTCAAGACATCATGATCGTGGAGAGGATAGACACAGGGATAAACACAGACACCGCAGACACACTGTTGATATTTTGGAAAGATCAGATCGTTCTGAAGGCTCAAAACGAGACAGGGAAAGACTGGAGAGATTAGAAAGAATGGAAAGTCACAGAGACAGGGAATCTAGACACGATAGGAAAGAAAGAAGTACAGGAGATCGTGTTTTGGAGGATCTAAGAGAAAGGTATAAAAGAATGTAGTATATTTTAAAAAACTTTCTATATTTTTAATATTTTTGTTAAATCATGCTTTTTTTTATCTTAAAATATCTAATTATCAGATTACTGGATAAAAGAAGAGAAAGACGAGAAGATTCACGAGATGTTCGCCGCGAAATTCGTATGGAAGATACTCGCGAATTACGCGATTCGCGCGAACGCAGAGAAATTCGATTGGAAGATATGCGAGAACGCCGTGAGATTCGAACCATCGAAGACGTAAGAGAACGTCGCGAATTTCGCATGGAAGAACACAGGCACATGAGAGTAATGGAAGAACAATACTCTGAAACAGAGTTAATGGAACGACCGGAGAGAAGCGAGAAACGCCACAAGAGATCACACAAGCATGATCGTCTTCGCGAGAGGGACAGAGAAAAAGCAGAACGCGAGAAAGAGCACAGAGAAAAACAATTGCGCGAAGCGATGGAAATTGTTACCGAGGAACCTGATGACATGGAGATCAACGAGATGCCAATACAACCAAAGGACCCCAAAGAGATGACTGAACAGGAACTTAGAAAAGAGAGATTATTAGAAGCTGATAGAGAAATGGCCAGAAGGAAAGAAGTCTCTAGATTGGAGTTAGAAGCACGACGAATGAAACGTGGAGAGAAACGACCATTGAGTCCAGACAATAATCAAGATCCGTCTGTCGTCGAATTATCGGATGAGAGTCCTAGTCCTGTTCATTCGGACGAAGTTCGTTCTAAATCTGTCGAGTATGGATTATATTAAGCTATAAATATTCTTGTATTTAATTTTTTATTTTTTATTTGTTGATTATTTATTTGCAGATCTAGACATTCCTCTGATGGTCAAAGAAGTATACGTGAAAGATCTTCAGATAGACATTCTTCCGATTCGTCTGAATCTAGTAGCGATGATGACGATGAATCGAACGATTCGAATAAAGGTTCCAACGCTGATTCTAACGATGGTTCCGATTACAATAATCCAAGTCCCTTATCTGTCGATCGGTTGGCTAAGTCTGATCATTCTGATGGAGAATCGCCTGGACATGTTGATTCCAATGGAGCCTCTAAAAATATGGAAGAAGAAGAAGAAAAGAAAGAAGAAGAGGAGCCTGAATTGCCACCATATTTACCAGCAATTCAAGGTACATAATCTAAGCATGTTTTACGTTTGATAATAATGTACCATTAAATCCTCTTGTGTTGCAGGGTGCAGAAGCGTAGAAGAATTTCAGTGTCTAAATCGCATCGAGGAAGGTACATACGGTGTAGTATACAGAGCACGTGACAAACGTACGGATGAAATTGTCGCTTTGAAGAGATTGAAAATGGAAAAAGAAAAAGAAGGTTTTCCAATTACCAGCCTTAGAGAAATAAATACTCTACTGAAGGCGCAGCATCCAAATATCGTTACCGTTCGAGAAATAGTTGTCGGTAGTAATATGGATAAAATATTCATCGTAATGGATTACGTGGAGCATGACTTGAAGTCATTAATGGAAACGATGAAACAAAAGAAGCAGGTTTTCATACCAGGTAAATATAAAGAAATTAAAAAATATAAAGCAGAGATATAAATATTTTTTTTTTCACAGGGGAGGTTAAATGTCTTATGCAACAATTATTACGGGCCGTCACACACCTGCACGACAATTGGATACTTCATCGCGATTTGAAAACATCCAATTTGTTGCTAAGTCATCGCGGCATCTTGAAGGTTGGTGATTTTGGTTTAGCGCGAGAATACGGTTCACCTCTGAGACAATATACACCGATTGTTGTAACACTTTGGTACAGAGCTCCTGAATTGCTACTGAGTGGGAAAGAATATAGTACTCCCATTGATATGTGGTCAGTGGGGTAAGAAGAAACAAGATTGAAAAATCAGCAATACTTTCTTCATTCATCTATAGCAGAATTACTAATGAACACATTTTTTACAGATGTATCTTCGCAGAATTATTAAGAATGGAAGCATTGTTTCCAGGTAAATCTGAGATCGATCAATTAAATAGGATATTCAAGGAATTAGGTACGCCTAATGATCGGATATGGCCAGGATATAGTAAACTGCCGATGGTGCAGAAAATCCCATTCGCCCATTATCCAGTGAACAATTTGAGACAGCGTTTCAGCTTATCCTTATCAGATTTAGGCATCGAGTTATTAAACAAGTATGGTTTTTTGTGTAAAATGTATTTTTTTAAGTCGATATGGTTCTTTTGTATTATAGAAATAAATATTTGCAGATTCCTTACTTATGATCCTCAACAAAGAATATCAGCTGAAGATGCTCTGAAACACGGTTATTTTGCAGAGGCACCGTTGCCAATTGATCCTCAAATGTTCCCTACGTGGCCAGCTAAATCTGAGCTAGGTGTGAGGACAGCAAACGCTTCGCCAAAACCACCAAGCGGTGGAAAGGAATACAAGCAATTAGGAGATGGTGACGATGCTGATTTAAGTAACTCCGGGTTTCACATGGGCCTCACAGAGGGTGGGCGGCAACCACCTGTCGGTGGTGGTTTCCATTTAAAGTTTTAAAATATGTACGACGAATTCTGCATGATAAAAGAGTGATTGCTTTTCTACGAAATAAACTTTGTATATAAATTTCAAAATACTTGGTGTTTTACATTTGGATTATATCGAAAAAAAAAATAAATATACAATTAAAGGACGGCACAAGTTTCATAAAAGAAAAAAAGACAGTTGTACAATCATTTTCAAGAAATTTATGTTTATCATTGACTACACTGAATCTCACTATTTTATCAGATGATTTTCTTTTGAAAGTACTTCATTTTATTTTCTGTAATAGCCTAAGATACTTGTTTCAGCTACGAAAATATGAACGGTCAGAGAAAAAATGGTCACCGATGAAACGTATTCTTTTGTTAATTTTATTGAGTTCTGATGCATTAGAAGCTTGAAAGATTGAAATGTACAATGATAAATAAAGTAGCTCCATCAGCAGTGAACTAGATGAAATATATCATTTTTAACACGGTTTTTTCCAAGCCAAGTCTTACTTTCCAGCGTTGTTCATGTTTTTCGGTAAGCCCAGTAGCGAGTTTATCAGTTCAGAGTTGCGTTTAGGATGGCACAGGCATGGTGGTAATAACATTAGCCTTGCGGACTGTAAATCGTTATTCTGAAAACAGATTTCACACATTTAGTAGGATCATTAAGAAGAAGCAAACTTTTTCACTTTTGACTAGTATTTATTTCTTTACACCAAAATTTTTATACTTATTTATATTATACACAGTTTTACCAATTCTCTGCCGTAAGAGAAGTTCGGTCCTATCAGATTTCTCTCGAAGTCCTCCATTGCACCCAATGTCCCGAATATGATACCCAGTATTGCAATGAAAAGTAATGCATACTTCATTGATGCCATGTCTCGCTTGAAAAAAAATCACACGCACATTAGCACGAATAATTTGTATTTATTACAAATAAATGAACGTTCGTTTAAACAATTACCTATTTTACTTGGTGAATAAACTATTGGTAGCTGCAACCACTGTTTCTCTTAGACGCTTTAAATGGAAGTGCACTACCAGTCTCGGGCTGCGACACTTTTATACGAGTGGTGTCCGTGGGGGATGAAATCTGGCCACGACAGATAGATCTGTGAACGACAGCTATGTCCCTGGGGAAACATCGAAGAAAATTTCCTTTATTCTTTTCTTAAATTATTACGTAAACCTGTATTGCCATGGACAGTTTTTATCTATCAACTAACTGAATAATCTAATATATCTACATTTTTTTCCTTTTTCCATAATGGATGATATTTTTCCATACGTCCTTTTTTACACTGTTCTGTCCTTTAGATTTATTTTTTTTCTAAAATGACCATTTTTTCCTTTATTTTGTGAATTGAATTAGTAAATTGAACATTGGCACACAACACATGGCCCCTATGGCCTATAGAAACATGAAACTGTTGCTTATGTCTCCCTGAACCTGATGTCCCCACTGAACGAGTATTTTCATTAGTGAACAATATGTGGATCTGTAAAAAAACCCAATTAAAAATCGAAACATTGAAAACATGCATTTATACTAAATGCAACTTTAACATGAATTGTATACAGTTTTATGAACTTTTCTAATTTGAACAATTTCTAATTTGTCCTTTACTTTTTCCAAAAAAATATGGTCATCGTAATCATAGCGTTCCATCGTACGATTCGAACAGCTCGAAAATTCTGGATTTTTCGAAATATATTTTCAGAAATATTTGCTATTTACGTTGACTCGTCATTTTCCCAAAGGTTTCCAAAATCGTATAATATATTCCTTTTCCAATAATAATGCCTCTAAAATATTTTTTCTTATCGAAATAAATTTAACATGTACGCGACGAAAGTAATAAGATTACAAGATGAATAAATAAATCAGTAGGACTAATGAGGCGTGTTGATATGCTCCCTTACCATGTTCACTATATTTGATGATACTCAAAGGTTCCTAAATCGTTCGGTGTTTCCTTTTTATTCATTCAAGAATATCCTCCGAAGACATCAACATCTTTTCTCGTTGAAATAAATTCAACGTATAGGTGTCGAAAGTGACAAGGAGGAATAAATAAATCAATAGAACCAACAAGAGTATCGGTGTGGTCGGATTAATATTCATTACTATCTATCGTCGCCTCTCGTTAGGTTGGCTGTGCCACGTATCGAAAGAGCAGATCAAAATCGAATAAGAGCCTCGTCAAAGGAGCTGGTGACCAAACGTTCACGGTGCATGAACGGTCCTTATTTGCTTTTACGACTTACGCTGTTCTTTAGTTAACGTCGTGATAACGCAACACGCACAATTTATGCATGCATTTGCGCCGCTCGATGACACTGCGGCTCTCAGCTATTCACCTTTACGCTTGTTTACAATGTGTTTTGCCTCTGGGCTCATTAACGATACTTCAACAAATTTTTCTCTTGCGCGCTCCTTCACTGGATATTTTCGAGATATCTCGTTCGATACTTTCTTGCAAATTATAAGGAAACTTTAGCTGGAAGAGCGCAATTAATTCTCGCAGAATAAAATTTCATCCTTTGCTTAGTCGCCATGTGGACATCGAATAAAACGTGTAAAGCAGCTTAACAAGTCATAATAATTATAAAGCAACAGGATTTATCAGGGGTATAGTTCCAGTAATTAAGGAGGATTGTATTTATTCATGAGACACCTACGCGCGAAGATGGAGAACGATAAATGACGAAGTTAGATTCGATATTCTTTCAACCGTTGGGGAGTAAGGAATAGGAGAAAGAATTGGAGGACAAAGAAAAAAAGAAGAGAAAATAAAAGAAAGGGGGAGAGCTTAGGGTGACGAGAATATATGCACGATAATCGAAACTTGGTGCTCTGGGATGAGTGTGGGTCACTAACCAGACAGCTGACTGTGAGGACTGGTGTGGTGGCCTTGATTTTTTCTCGAGACCTTTCAAACTTTACAGCACACAAGTGTCGTATCGATCATGTTACAGTTCGTTTTTATCGACATCAGAGTACATGTACTTTCATTGTACCTATTGTTGTTACACAGCTACTGACGGAATATATTTACTTCTTCAATTTCTCACTAGCAGTCGCTTTTATCGAATGACGTAATTGAAGGCAGATTATTTCTTCGTTACAAGAATCGTAACTTTCATTGACGGATGTTTCACCGTAGCTTTCCCAAGGATTCCACAACTCTCCAAAGCGTGTTGAATAAATCAGCTGGTTGTCTAAGTTGGGGAACACCCGAAACACCGTCCAAACGAAACAAGCGGTGTCGCCTTCCAAATTATCTATTGCTCTTGTGTTAATAGCTTTCTCGTGTACCTCTTTGCGGCAAAATATTAAATGGTCGCCTTAAGCTCTTTCGATGATGTACTAATGGCTAATGGTTTTCATACACGCTTGGCACAATGTATCATTCTATTGTGTCAAGGCTTACGAAGAATTGTCAGATCATCCTGAATTTTAATATCCTTCTGATCCCCTTTTTCCTCGATTTCTTATTTCTCATTCTGGCCACGGTTTTATGGTCATTACATTTCTACCTTGTGTTTTTTCTGCGTTTATTTTACAATCACATGATACGTCAAATGTCACATTTTAGCACCTCTAATAAACGAAAAGATGTTGAACATGCGCTGCCGGTACAAGATTAATGAAACCGCTACACTGCATACTGATAAGAGTATTACATGCAAGAATAGTTTACTGTCCAAAAAACAGAAATCGAAAACTTCTAACAGGCGGACGAGAAAAGAACGCTCTATCAGCGTCAAACGCGTGCCTGTCTAGCCGCGTGACTTAATTATGCATTCCGTTTATCCGTTAAAGCGCTTTAACAGGTTCTACGTACGAAAAACTCATACAACCTGTATCGAAATACATTCGACTTCCCGATGCCAATGAACTTCGAAGACCACGTTAATAATCTGTTCTATCTTGGCGCCGGTACAACAGAAACTGGATCTCTTGATCGATTCGGCGGAACTTAGGACAATTAATCGATTTACCATTATGTCATTTGAATACTTGTGTAACTTTTCTTCACTTTATATCCGCGTTTGCTTCTCCTGTCTAGTTTGTACGTTTCACTAAAGTTCCCGTTATTCATTTCAACCTGAAATAATCGCAAAACCGAACTCTCGATCAATTGTCCCCCGCGTAGGTGTAAATGATCTTTCAGTTAGGTTATCTGGTAATTTTTTTTATTATTTCTTTTTATTATTATTCGAGAGCAAACAAGTCGATCTCTCGAATTCTTCAATGGGACGAGTCCACCCTATCTTGTGCTGGTCATTTCGGGACTTTTTCTTCGTTAGGTTATAAATTTGTCGAGGTCCTTTGAGAGCCACCACTTTTTTAATGACTTCGTGGATAATATTTTTTTCACGGAGACTTTTACCTATTAAAAGTTCTTTTCCCGAAACTGTGTAGCCTAGATAGGTGAATCTGTGTATTCGAACGGGAGGAAGAAGCACTCTGAGGTTCCTCAAGGTGATCGTGCTTAGTTTATACGAAATATCTGTGACATGAAACGCTAAACAGAGAGTAAAAATGTGACTTTGAGTACTGTTTATAATATTTTAATATTTCAAACTGTGGTAATTAATCTTTTGCACACGGAACATTTTTTTATACGACCGACCAGCAACTCCAGCATACTTTTGCAGTAAAACTCCTCTGAACCGAAAGTGTTCTTTTAAAAAGAATAAATCATAAATGTTTATAATTTATTTATATATTTATGTATTTCACGTCACCGTAGCGTCGCCAGTGTAGTGCGAAGGGTGAATGTTGTTAATCGTTCCGAGTTTTATAAGTTGTTTTTAATTATAATTTCTGATTCACGTTGAAAATTGTTCGAATGAAAAAAAGTGCAATTGCATAGCCTGATAGTGGAAGAGTTTTCAGCATCATTGAGATACCGAAAGGACGATGAACATAGCATACGTAACGAAACGCATTATCCTAGGAGCACAGTATCATACTAATCAGTCCTTGCATGAAACGAAGCACTCTTGTATGGGATATTGGCCAGCCAGCAAGATATGATATCACTTCCGCTTGACCCTCAAATGATAATGTACTATCCTCGAGTTCAATTTGCGACAATAGGAATCATTCTATTCTTGTAATCCAGCGATACACTAACCAAGAATTCATGATTTCATCTTGAGATTTACCTATAGAGTTATCATGAACTAATCTATAAATTACTCGAAAATTCTCTCGTGTCTATAGATCACGCGATTAAGAAAATATTCTAGTTTACAACGAACATTGTGTCCATTTTTTAATCTAAATCACTCTGGTAGCGAATTCTTAAAACTATCTTACTAATGCTTAACCTTTACACAGTACAATTGTCTTACATACAGTGATTCCCACTAATATTCGGACACTCTTTAGAACAGTATAACTCTTTCAAAATTGAACCTAACGACTTGAGTTTTTTTTTTGTTTGAGAAATTAGAGGGATTAGTATACTAAATGACGTGTGCAAAAAATTTTGAAAAAGTTGCAATTTGTGGGAATCGCAAAGAAAATTGCAAAGCTTACTATTTACAACTTTTTTATCTGAGCTTGTAATGAAAATTTAAAACATACGTTTTGCAGATCTATGTTAATTATACAACTGCTGAAATTTCATCGAAATCAGTTAATGGAGAAACAAGTGACAAGCATCGAAAGATGTAAGAATCTTCAGATTTATAAGCCGAAAATTGTGAAATAATGCGATTTTCACAATCATTAACCGTTTGCAGCTCATAGCAACATTAACCGATTTCGATGAAATTTTCAGCATGTATAATTGACATAGATCTACAAAACGTATGTTTTAAATATTCATTACAAGCTCAGATAAAAAAGTTGTAAAAGGTG